CTGCATACGCTTAGTCATTCTGACTTCAGTGCTCTCCTTTTTTTTCCCTGCTCCGTTGGTGAGCCAGTGGGACATGGACTAATTATACTTTTCAGGGACAGTGGACAATGATTATGGATTGTTGGATATGTTCCACTGTTTCTAGGGGCTTCCACGTAACTTGAATGTTTACTCTTGGCTCCAGCTTGTCAGACTCTTCTCTAAGCAGAGCATTTTGTTTGATAGAGCTGTGGTTATCAAAATTAGGAGTATAGCAAAGCTTTCAGCAAATAAACAGAGCTTTCAGGCACAGGCTTATTGGTGCTGCTGTTGCAGAAAGAACAATGTTAATATTAAATGGCTGAACCAGAGTATTCCCAAGGAGATGGTGCAATGTAGAAGGATTTCAGAAAGCCATAGAATTTTTAGGCCCAATACCTTAATAGCAGTGTTGTGTAATTGTGTCATAAGATGGGATGATGCTTCATATGTTGTATGTAAAAGCAAAGGAATGAGTAATTCTGTTAAAATGGGGCTGAAGATGTGTCATACAATTTGAACAGTAGCATTTTCTGAATGAGCTCTGCAAGTGTGATTTATATATGGAGCTGTTAGAGGTGTGGTTTGAAATACATGCTCCTTGGGATATCAAATTCAAATTTTTTAAAACGTATGTTTTGAAAATAATCAAAAATTGAGAACAATTACTTTCTTCAATTTTTTTTCCAGATAGTAAATTTGTATTAAATAAGAAAACTCTGTTTAGTAGAGCAACTACTTGCTTAAGGCTTGGGTTTGTGCAGGTTTACATTTTCTTTAAAGCCTTTTTACAGTTCCTTCCTGCTTCCATGTCCTACAAGAAATGCCCTGCAAGAGTCAGCACATGCTGTGGTAACTGTGCTGAATAACTGTGGGAGTAACTATGCAGTTCAGGTGTCCTGCCTGGGCAGCTGTTGGGCCAGACAGAACATAGCACTGAAGCTTATGATGAAGTGTTGGCAACTAAAGTTGCCAACTTTCTATACTTGTGCTATTTTGTTGTTGTAATGAATCTTTTGGTTATCTGTTCAGTTCAGATAGTGAATTAGTGGGGAGTAATCAGGGTACCAAAGGTATAAATGCTGAGTCATCTTCCCCCACCAGAAACAGCAAGTTGTATGGCATAAGTTTCCCTGATATTTGTTGCAAGAGTAACTTTTGCATAGCTTTGAAACAGAAAATATGATGGCCTGATCAATAAAAATAAAGCAAAAATAAAAATTTCTCATAGCAAACTTCTTTCTTTACACAAGATTCAGGACTGTTGGTGACTTACTTTAAAATGACTATGGGCAGATAACTACTTCAAGAAAACACAATTGCAGGATGTGAGTTCCTGTCTCTGACAGCAGCATTTTTTAAATTTTATTTTTCAATTTTGATTTCATCCTGTGGTATTGCACAGCTCTCTGCCATTTGTGTTTTTTTAGATGGCTGAAAATTGTTTTGTGGCTCACTTGAAGCATAATCAATGCAGTGTTGTGGATCCCTGTCAAGTCAGATGATGGTAGCAGAGCTACGGCTAGACAGAGCACACAGGTCACCAGCAGACAAGGGAAGACAACGGGCCTTTTATTGGGCTCTGAATGCCTGCTTGGAATGACTGCTGATGTTCAAAGCAGTGTGTGCTACTTCAGGCAGAAATATGTGCCTTTCCATGGTTTCTGGTGTGGTTCTGAAACCTCATAAAATATGCTTTTCTAAAGGACTTAAGTCAGAATTGTGTAGGTTGGAAAAAATCTTTAAGATCATCAAGCCCAACTGTAGTAGGAAAACAAAACAGCCTTTTTTTTGGCACAAGCCTGGTCTGAAATGCCTTTATGAGGATGTGATTTACCCTTCATATTCCAGTCATGTCACCCGCTTACAGTCTTATGGTTCATTCCCATCAGTCCCACTATCCAAATCCAAACTACTCTTATATATTGTGGGTATCTGGTTTTGGTTTAAGACTTGTCCATTTTAAGAACTTTTAAGAAATTATACTTCCTCTGATAACTCTTTAGGTAAAGAAACTTAGATGAAATGTAATTTGCATTTGGTGTAGTAAATGTTTTACACTGTTTGTACAGGTCTCCCATTCTCTAGTACAATGAGAATGTCTTGCTGAAGTGTGTGTGACTAAGTAGGTTCTTTGGCTTAGTGGTTGTCCATCAATAAAACTGGTAGTAAAATTGGTTGCCCATTTAGTAAAACTGTTCTCTGTGCTGCCAGCAACAGAAGAACACGGAGTGCCTGGCAGTTTGTTTAAATTAATTACAGAAGTGACTTAAGGCATATTTCACTTGTTACTTCCTTTTGTGGTTAGGTATTTAGAAGGAATTAGTTGCTCCAGGAAACACTTTTGGAAGCCTGTTTTCTGAAGGTTTGCAAAAATTGCAATGCAATGGCAAGAGCTGATGCCTTTAAGAAGCTTGCATCATTTTAAACGAACAGGTGTTTGTTCAGCACAGTCCTCCTCCGTTCCTGTTTGCATATTCATATAATTGTATCTACTATAGCTCTGTAGCTGGTAATGATCTGAAGTCACACAGCACACCTTATTTTCTGAGTCCGCACAGAGATCATCAGTAGGGGTCACAATGGCCTGAGACATTGACATGGAGCTGTGGTGGTTGTTTTTGGTTTGGATTGTTTGTTGTGGGGCATTTTCGTTTGTTTGTTTTGAAGGTCTTTTGTTTTGTTTTCTTTCCTTCTCTCTCCAAATGCTTAGGCACTTCAGGGGGAAGATGAAGCAGAGAACTGGGAGGGAGAAACATGAAAAACTGGGTTGTGGTTTGTTGCTGTGAGTTGATGATCTCCAGGTTTCAGTTGTAGCAGTGACATGGTAATTGTGATTAGCTTCTTTGATCTGACTTGTTTTGGGTGGCAGGAGAAGGAGAAGTAATTGGATGGGGTGGTATGGGTGGGGAAGGAGCCCTCCTCTGTCATTTGCCAGCACATCTCAGGTTGGATGCAAACTGATTATCATGGTAGAGCCCCAAGTGTTACAGTGCTGGGTGCAGAATGAAGTAGGGGCTGTTGTAACATTTGTCTTTCTGCTTGTCTGAAATTAAGCACAAATTTTCTTTTCTTCACTGTTTCCTGATGTTCTTTCCAGTATTTAAGTTGGGGTTGGGAAGGGACTGTGTAGATTTAAACACCACCAACTCCTGCTGCTAGAGATTCTGTAAATAGCCACAAGCAGGACTTCTCTTCCTCTAAGCAATCATATGACTGCTGCTTGTGTAGTTATACTCACAAATCTATGTATGGAAATACTACTGCTGGCTCACTTCAGGCTATTCACTGCAAGTTTAAAGCTACACACATAAATATTTTGACTTTGTATGTTTTGTTACCAAAAAGCAGTGAAAGATTGGTGCTGTTAAAACAGTGGTTCTTCATATTAGCTTTTGCTTTAAAACAGACTTGTGACTTTTTCAACTAGGTTTGTTTTCTAAGTTTGTATGAAGAAATATTAACCAAATATATTAAGTTTCATTTTATCTATTACTATACTGTAAGAGTAACTGTTTAATTTTGAGAACTCAAATCAGTGTGTTGAACTTGACCCTGCCGTGGAGTAGAATTGCAGAATGAATGCAGAATTGCTGAGTTTATTTGCGGTAGGAGCTACTGATCTTAGCTCTAAATTAGCTATATAAGTACTCATTTAGAAATCTTTTGATCATTAGATCTGTTTCCTGTTGTTGTTTGTCTCTGTCCAGTAGATGATGATAATTTTGGTAATTAAGGACTGTTAGGTGTTGCATATGCAATTGGGCTATTTAGAACTGAAACATCAAATATGAAATACATAGTTAGGATGTGTGTCTAATCTCTCTAATGCTGAGCAATCTTTGAAATTATCTATAAGATTTATCATGCTTGCCAAGCAGTTTGGGGAAGATGCTGAAGTGGGAGTATCACAGCTTCTGAAAGTTGTCAGATCAAGGTAGAGCAATCAGTTTTGCAGCTCTTGGTTGTTAGAGCCTGAAGGTCACTGGGGACGATGTTGAAAACCTGACACTTGCAGGGATAGAGGGCATGTTTGTAGTAGGCAGGTAGGAGGGATGGTCAGGGCTATTTCAGAAAGGGTGTGGGAAGAAAGGATATGCAATATAAAAACAAAGCTTTTTTGACTCTCCTTCTCTGGAAAAAAACTGCTCTAAAAGGGCACTACATTTTTGAGGGCAGCTAATGTTTGGCGTTACTGTTTGGGTGCATATTCAGGCTACTTGCAGAATTGTCTGAAGGGCTTAAACCATTTCAAGTTAGAACTCCTACATCTTGTTTCATTTTGAGATCACCTTTCCTCTTGTTTTGCTCAGGAATTGAAGCTTGAATATACTGAGAATTTTGCATGTGGTTCAATTTTTGCTCACTCACAACTACAATTAGAAAATTAAATTGGAGCAGGAGTATTTTTACCCCTTATCTCATACCATCACTCAAATGTATATGGTATTGTAGAAACTGCATCATGGTAACAAAGGCTGTTGGAAAAACAGTTCTTGTACTCAAATAACAATTAAAAGTATAAATACTGAACCTTGGATTCTTTAAAATCTACCATTTGAGGCTTGGGGCATATGGAATCTGTTGAAACAGTTTAGGCCCTGAAGTACAGTGAGGGAATGTGTAGAATTAGGTGAAGGAGAAGAATCTTAAAGATTGCAAGTAGAAATCAGGTGCTTTGCATTTCATGGGCACATTCTACAAATATTTTGTAAAAGGAGTGTTGGATGTTGAAAATGGATGCTGGGATCTGCTTGTCCTTCTGACAGGCAACTTTAGGTATTTAGACTGATACATGGTGCACTAGTCAATTTTTACAGCAGCTCAGTCTGGAATATAAATTATGCAGCCCCACACTTTAATGGTTTGATGTATTAACAATAGTAAACTTAAATGGGTTTTGAATTAAGGTATTTTCTCAGATTAATCTGTTTTGTTGTGGGCTTTTTTTTTTTGTTTGTTTGTTTGTTTTTTTTGTTAAGGTGTGCAAACAGATTTGGCTAGGCCTATTTGATGATAGATCATCAGCAATTCCAGACTTCAGGGATCCACAGAAAGTAAAGGAATTTCTACAGGAAAAATATGAAAAGAAAAGATGGTAAGATATCTTTACTATTATAAAGATTGCCCCTATGATGAGAAGTGAAGATGGACTGTTTGCTATCATTTTGAGTGTCCTTTCCTTCTTTGAGTGTGCTTTTCAAACTAGATTACATGGCTCTGTAAAGTGAAATGGTTTCTGAACTTTATTTAGAGCTCCTATAGGAAGCAGAGAAGACAAACAAGTTTCTCAGTGTTCATATTGATGGCACAGAAATGGCTTTAGAGGATGTCAACAACAGCATAAAGTAAAAGTTTTGCAGACTATTATTTCCCATCCAATTTATTAGTATGGGAAAGACATGTTTTGTATTGAATAAATGCTAGAAATATTGATGACTTTAAATTCTAGTCCATTTAAAGAAAAAATCTGTGGCATATTTAAAGAAGAGGTTCTTTGCAAACTACTGAGAGAGTCTATTGCAGGATTGGAGTTTCAGTAGCAAAGCTGAGATCTGCCAGTTCTCAACTTCAAAGTTAAGAACTTCTCACGTGAAACTTGTAAAAACCATTGCTCTTCTTGCATGTAGGTATGTTCCTCCAGAGCAAGCAAAGGTGGTGGCATCAGTCCATGCATCCATATCGGGGTCTTCTGCCAGTAGTACAAGCAGCACACCTGAGGTGAAGCCACTCAAATCTCTCTTGGGAGAAGCTGCACCCACACTGCACTTAAACAAGGGCACACCTAGCCAAGTGAGTAATGGCTGCTGAGCACAGAACTGTTCTGCAGTCCTTGTTACCCTTTCAGTGGCCCTTGCAATAGCAGCTGCTATGATCTGTAGCAACTAATATGATCACTGTATGTTGTATATTTTACTGAAGTATGTACATGTTTGCAGATCAGGTACTAAATTAAGTTTGTTTCTATTGACCAAATTGATTTTTATTATTTTTAGTAAGCAGAGTTTTCCAGTGTGATAGGATTAATTGTCTTTTGCATGAATACCTGTAAAGTTTGGACCTGATGTGTTATATTTTCATCTTTGCATTTTCTCTTTGAAAATAAGAAAATGACCGATGTTGTTAACTGTGAGATTAGTAGTGAATATGTGGATGAAAGCATGTCATATTTATTATGGCTTCCTGCGCATTCTGAAACTGTCTTAAGTGGCTTTCAGGGGATGTCTATATGTTGTAAAGTAAAGTCAAACAACACTGTGTACTTAGATTTTTGGAGGGAGGACAGTTTGTTTGGAAACTGCCATCAGGATACAGGCAACTCTTGAATGAACCTCTTTTAGCTCAAACAGTAGAAAATTGCAACTTCAAGCCTTGCTATTAAAGTTAAGGTTTTCTATCCTTATACTGAATTCTAAAGATTTTTTCAGACTGTAGTGAATAACTATTTTCCATCCTGTAAAATTAAGTTTTATTCTTGTATTTGTACAATATTTACAGTTTCAAATACAAAATCTGAAGTTGCTAATAATATATTGTTACTTTACTCTTCTGGGTGCTATTAAACCACGTAAATCTGCAACAGAGTTCCTTTAAAAGCCAGAGAAATAGCATAAATTGTCTTCCTCATACTATAGGAGGAGGGTGTGTCCTACATACAGCATCTTAAACTTCAGGAATAAATGTCTTGTTAAGGAAATAAGCTTAGTCTAGCCTGCTAATATTTTGTAAATGTCAGTTTGGTAAAATATCACCTTTTCGTACTAGCTAATTGAAATCTTGTTTGTAGTCTCCTGTTGTAGTTCGATCTCAAGGACAGCAGCAACAAGAAAAGAAACAATTTGACCTCCTCAGTGACCTTGGCTCAGATATCTTTGCTGCTGCTCCTTCTCAGTCAACTGCTACAGCAAATTTTGCTAATTTTGCACACTTCAACAGTCATACAGGTAGGTATTTGGGCCACTGTATCCCTTTTAATTGTATAAAATGTAGTTTTAATTTTGATGGCTTTTGACTAAACTGCATGAGGTGTATGTAATCTCTGTGCTTTAGGAATGTTATATTGCTCAAGGTTTCTTTCAGGTCTTTATAAAGAAATGTTGAAAACATAAAGACTGACAATTCTGCTTTTGGAAGTGGGTGTTGCTATAGCTATTCTCTAGGATGTATGATTACACTGTTTCTGCCTACTACTAAACATTAGGTTCTCTGGGGGAGAGAGAGGATGAGTAACAAAATGTTGGGAGAAGCTGATACTAGACCTTCAATTTTCTTTCTGAAAGTTATTAGGAAGAGCATTCATGAAAAGCAAGCGGATACAGAGACCTTTAAATGCATTGATAATAACTGCCAATTTGTCAAAGGAAAAACCAAGGCTTGCCCAGTTTAAAGAGTGATCTCATCTTTTGTGTGTGTGTCGGTTTGAAAGCTGAGTACTGCTCATGTGAGCAGTATTCTGTAATTTCAGGAAGGCTGAACAAGCCTTGAGCATATGTATTGACTGAGGAAAGGGGCTAGGCTTGAATTCTTAGAGGATGACTTCAGTAAAATATATTGAACCCTCAGGGTTTGTTTTTTTTTTCCCAGCCAAAGACCAAGAGCCATAGAAGTGTCTCCTAAAGACAAAGTCAATTCTGTGGTCACTGAAGTTTGTTGTTGATAGCTTACTTTGTGGTTGTGGGAAAGCACCTTTGCCTGCCTGGTCCGAATGGGCTTTTCATCTAGTTGTTCTGAGAGAAATTTTGATGCTGCTAAGCCACCCAGAATAAGAGAGATTTCTTGCAAATCAGTCCTGAAACTGTTAACAGCCAAGATAGTGTCATAGCAAAATAACAAGGATTTATCCAAATTAATGTTGTGAAATAAATGGCTGAATTCAGTAACAATGCAACAGCAATTGTTGTTCTTTGTGTTCTGTAAAATTCTTAAAATTAGATTTCATGTTAATCAGGATTTTGGAGGTGTGTTTAACTGGGAGAACTGGTGCTGACTGGCTAATGCTGTATGATGTTATTGAAAAGGCTGCAGATGGTTAATTTTTTCTAATAAGTTCTTTCCAAACTTGTTTCTGAATGATTCTTTATGTATATACCCTTAATTATTCTTAGTGCTTTTTAGGAGATGAAAATTCCATTAAAGCAGTATTTCAATATTGTGTTCCAAATCTAGGTAAAATTCCATTGCATCTCTGATGGGTAATTTTTAAAAGGATAAAAAGCTATAGAATCACTCCAGAATAAATATAATCTGAGGAGAGAGTCTGTTAATTTCTGGTCACAAACTAACCATTGTGGTCATTCCTATGACATCTTACCATAAGTTTTAGAGCCCAAAGCAGTATCAGGGCTAGTAATTCAGTTTCTAAAAGAAAGGAACCTGATTCTGAGTGTGTGATAGCTGAACATGTATTCCTGACTTGTTACCTGAGGGTGTTTTCTAAGGCTTGTCTTGTGTGCAGTAAGTACAGGGTAGTGTTAGTGAAATGAATAACAAAATGTTACAGACTTTTCCTTTGGGACACAAGGAGGGTTGATCAGTCTGCCAGCTTTGGCAAAGATGAGTTTGAAATGCTCATTAAGGAGCTGTATAAACATGTAATTTTTGTTAGCAATTACACACTGCTAAGGAGGATGGGAGAATTTGCACTTAGTCCAGCACTACTTTCTCAAAGTTTATGGTCTGGTCTTCTTGTTTTAAGGCTTTGTTTTAGCTATGTGTGTAAGGGATTAAGTTTTTTCCCTTCCTGTACACAATGCTAACTAAATCACTGAAAAGACCAGCAAACTTAAGGTCCTTCAGTGTAAGTTACTGAGTGCAGCAGCTGATAGGAAAATATTAGCAAACTAATGCCGTAGTCTGTGAAGTGTAGCTGTAAATCTTGAAAATTATGCAGGAACTGCAATTTATGATGTTTCTGCTTTCCAAATTCTTTAAGGTATTAAGCTGGTTCAGGATATTGTTGCTTATTGAAGGGGAAATGTACTGACCTTATGTTTGCTGTTGGTATTTAATTTACAAAGTTCTGTAATGTCTGCAAAATCAAGATTTTGAAGATGGTACATGACTGATTTGTCTGTAGTTTATAGACTGGTAATCGCAACAAGGATCAAAAGTTTTGGCATGTAGATTTATTAAAAACTAGTGGAATAGATGACCTGCACAAAAGATTTTGCAAAGGTGTTGTGACACAGCACAACTCCATTACAAATAACATTGGAGAAGAGACTTTTATCTAGAAAAAGCAAAATAGTATAAGAGTTATTTTGTAGAGCTTTTTTTGTAGAGATTTTATTTTAGTTTTTTTCCTGTTTTGCAGTGTTTCATGCCTTTATTGCATACCAGGTAGTACAAACCTCACAGAAGAAACTGCAGAGATTATAGGAGCAGCTGACATTGCCATGACTGGTGTTGTCATCCCTGGCTGTAGCCAGCTGGCTTTTGTACTGCCTTGTTGGTCTGCAATGTCAAGAGCAGCTGTAAATCCATGGCAATCTGCAACCCCCTGAAGTTCCTGAACTTACTTAGGATTGTTCTTGGGTTTTTGTGTGAAGAACTGATGAATTTTGGAATTGGCAATCTACATATTGTCCAGGTGCAGGAGAGTAAAAGCCTTACCTGGTCTTTGCTTTTGTGTCACATTTTCGAAGGTTGAAATTTTGCTGCATAAAATAAAACAAGATTAATATCAGAATGCTGTGCTGAAGAGGCTTTACAGCAATACTGTTTTAACACGGGCTCACTTGAAGGACATCCTTTCTGTGTCAGCTGATGCAGTAAAATGAAGTGTTTTGTAATGTAATACACTCCAGTTTTTAATTTGGACCCAAAAAATATTTCATTTAAGATTCTTGACACAGTTTTCTGCTTGTGTGAGTGGTTAAAATGAATTATCTTGCCCTTATTCTAGAAGTGGCATTTACATATTTAATCCTCTTTGGTCAACTAAAAATCAGTCTCTTGCCTGTCCAACTGATGCATTAGGATGGAAGTATCACTTTCATATTTAAAGTAAATTCTTAATCTATTCCTATTAAAAAACTACTGGTCTAAAAACCAAAACAACTCAACCTTTGGGATTTGGAGTCTGTAAAATACTATTTGAACCAGTACAGAGAATATAATAGAAGTAATTTTTTGTCTGTTTGTGCCAACTTATTGCACACTTCAAGGGTGAAAATAACTTTCCCAAGATTTTGCTTTCACTCTGATTTTTTTTCCCCCTCCTTGCTGACTCTCATGCTGTGGTGGGTTCCAGGTGCTCATGGGGCTGTGTGTTCACTCTCCCATTAGCAGAGTTGGGGAAGACACAAGAAAACTGATGAGTCAAGAGAAAGTAACTGGGCAAACCAGACTTGACTTAGTTTGTTGACAATAATAGAGTAGGATAGTAAAAAAATAAAACCGAACCTACCTTTATCCCTTCTTGTGAGGTGTAATTTCACTCCTGACCGTTTTAGCCCCCCCTTATGAGGGGGCTGGGGAATGGGCGTTGCAGTTCTAAATTTCATCTTTCTTGCTACTTCTTCCTCATGCTGTTCCCCTGCTCCAGTGTGGGGTCCCTCCCCTGCAGTGGGATATGGTCCTTCTCAAACTTCTTGGAATGTGAACCCTTGCTGTGAGTGTCAGCGCTCCCTACATGTCAGTTCTTCTAGGACTGCTCCAGCATGGGTCCTTTCCATGGGGTGCTGTCCTTCAGGCAGGTCACAGCTCCTGCCAGAAAACCTGCTCCAGCAGCAGCTTTCCATGAGCTCCAGCCTCCTCATGTCTCCCTACCTGCTCTGGCATGGCTCCTCCACGGGCTGCAGTGTGAATTTGTTGCACCATGGTCCATCATGGGCTACAGTGGGTCAGCTTTCCTTACCATTGTCTTCTCCATGGGCCTTCCCTCCCTCTTAGCTGACCTTGGTATCTGCAGTGTTTTCTCTTGCATTTTCCTCAATCCTCTGTGCCACAGCTTCTGCACACTGGTTTTTAACCTTTTATAAACACAATGCCCCAGCTATCACTGCTGGTATCCTTAGCTTTGGGCAGTAGTGGGGCAATCTTGGAGCTGCAGCAGCTGTGCAGCAATGGGGGCAGCTTCTGTTCTGTCCTCACAGGGACCACCTTGGCTGCTCCCTGCTGCCAAAACCATGCTCTGTAACCTAATGCTTATGCACATGGTTTATTAAATGTGGTATCGAGTCCAGCCAAACCTCATCCTCTCTCTCAGGGTACTCTGGGAAGGAAAATGCAGGCACTTTCCTGCTAATCTTTATTAGCAGCATTGTGGAGTACAGTAGTTTGTATTAAAATGTCCTTTCAGTTTATAAATCTGTAGTAGAGATGCTTTTGAATGGAAATTAATTGAAATAATACAACTTTTAATTAGCACTATCAGATTATTAAGCTACAGTACTTTAGCAATCAACATAATTTATTCTCTTTGTATACACTTAATCTGCAAAATCTTTCCAGAATAAACAAATTCTAACCTAAAAATATAATGTATTGCCATCTGTTATTCTAGAAGGTGTTTTGTGAGCTTTCTTTAGATAGTAATGCAAGTTGCCTTTATAAAAAGGTATGGTTTGCATTTGATTAAAAACATTTTTTCCTTTCTAGCTTGTAATAGAGTTTAAGGGCTTCTGTGGAGCTTACCAGTTAGGCATGCAATTCCTGTTGAGTTTATAGACACTTGAATGTTCAGCTGGTCAAAATTAGATTAGTGTTAACTTCTCTTTTCTCCTATAGTATGACACAAAAGGAAGGTGAAAACTGAAATTCTGTTTGATATTTCTTGCATATTATTCTGTGGATACACTCTGAATACTATCTTCTTGCCACTGGCATTGATTTTCCATATTTCTGTACTCTGATTTAGTTTTTTTAAAGACTGAATTTTCCAGTTAAATGAGTTTATAAATCTAGCCAAAAGTATTCAAGCTGTGCCAACCAAAATTCACCTGAGGAAGAAGCACTTGGTGTATGAGGAGTTTGAATTGCCAATATGTTACAAGAATGCCTTCTAATTTTTATGCACAAAGAAATGTTCAGTTAGCCCACAAGTTCTAGTTTTGGAAGCTAGGTATTCTGTACTTCATGGCTGTTTGTTCCTGAGCAGCCAGCGCTACAAACACTGAGGGTTAAGCTGGAGTGGATTCCATTGAGTATCCCAGTTGTGAGTATCAGCTTGTGTGAGGAGGACAGAAGTAGCATTAATTGATACAGCTCTGTGAATGTGATGTGTGAGACCTTGTTCAAAGACAACTTTCACGTGTAGAATAACGTGTAATTTTCTTCATGTCAAAAGTAGCACATGGTAGGACATAACCCTTGAAGGCTGTCATGACCATGAATTCAGTTAATACATCTGTTTTTGTGTTTCTTTCCCATATCCATTAACATGTTTTGTTCCTTTGCGATTTACAGCGCAGAACTCTGCCAATGCAGGTTTTGCAAACTTTGATGCATTTGGACAGTCTAGTGGCTCGAGTAATTTTGGAGGTTTCCCCACAGCAAGTCAGTCTCCTTTTCAGCCCCAAAATACAGGTAGAAGTCCTAGCACTTTTGATTAATACTTAATTGAAATAATCCTTACCTTTATGTCGGAAGGTACCGAAGTTGAGTTTTTCTTGCATCTGCCTGCTTTAATGTGATCAAGCCATCTGAAGCTCTGGGGAAACTCAAAATTAATTCCTTGTGTTTGGTGTTGATTTTTTTTTTCCCTAATGCTACTCAGAAGTCTGATTTATGGCACTGTGTTTGTTAGCTCTACACCTGAAATAACTATGAAAAGAATAAACAAACTCTACTGCTTTTAATAAGTGTTGAATTGACTGTGTCTTCTAAGAGAAGCACTTCAGTAGATCCAAAAGGATGTCACAGTACCAAACAAGTGTGTGTCTATGCATATGTATAGCATATGCACACACTTCAGTATGTTTGACTTCATGTGTAGAGCCTAATGCTAAGATTTATTTTGCTTTCCTTTAATTTTTTGATCATGCTTTAGAACTTCTGCTTGAGTTTACACTTGCTGTTTGTCTAGATCTTTGGCTGACTGACTTTCTTTTCCTTTTTTTTTTTTTTTTGAGTGTGGTGTTGTTTTAAACTTTTTTTTCAAATTTTCTTTCTCCCTTCTTATGTTAACTTTAACCCACACACAATTTCTGGCTGTCCAGCGTTCAGAACGCTTTCATCTAGCTGCAGTTTTGGTGAATTTACTTCAGCTTTTCCTCTCCAGGCTGTACACAGTAAGTTCCACGCAGTGGAAAACTCGGCTTGCTTCATTTTATGCCATTGTAGTATAGCACTTCCATTCCTGCTGTTGCATATGTTTCAACTTGTTGCTTATGCTTTTAGAAAGTTGTGTTTCTGTTTTAGAAAGTTCTGTAGTATGAGTGGCATCATCAGCCAACTGTTATGAAATGTGATACACTTAATAGAACAACTCATTTAAATTTAAGTATGTGACCTGCCTAGATTAAATTGTCTGGACAATGAAGAGATGGAAGCTCATGGTGTCATACTTGATCTGAAGTTCAGTTGTGTGGACTCATATCAAATTTCTAAAATTGATTTATGTATCTCTGACTTCAGTGGAGATTTGTTATGAAAAAGCTGTGTTGTGTCTTCCCCCAACCTGTTTCCTGATTGGATGCAGTCTAAAACTCTTGAGAACAGAGAACCAAACTCTCTAAACCTGGACATGAAATCATACAACTTGTGGACTTCCAGGCTTTTTTTTTTTTTTTTTTTGGCTAGGATGATGACTGACATCTGCAATGACTAAACACTGAACCACTAAGTAAATGTAAATAGTAGCTATTTGTTAGCCACATATGGTAGGGAAATGAAGCTTCTGTATTTTGAATATCAAAGATCAATACAAATACATCTTTTTCTAGGAAACTTTTATTATTGAAATTACTTTAAACAGCTAAAAATAGCATATAGTTTTCAGAATCAAATTATGACTGTGATTTATCCTGTTGAAGTTTGGGGTGTTTATCCCTTACATGCAGTCAAAACACTTCATTATAATTTTTTTCTGACAGCCCACTGAACTTTGAAGGAAATGGGAAAGAGCCTTAAATGGGTAGGATGGGGCAGGCAAACACATTGCCTCACATAACCACAAAGGGAGGGTTATTGTGCCATCAGTTGCAGTTGGAGAGACTTTCTAACTTTGGAGCATTGATCATGTTTAACTTAATTTGTTACAGGTGGAAGTGCTGGATCAGTGAATGCTAATTTTGCTCACTTTGATAACTTCCCCAAATCCTCCAGTGCTGATTTTGGATCCTTCAATGCTTCTCAGAGCAACGCCACAGCAACTGCAGCCAGTAAAGCTGCAGTGAATAAACTGAATCTTCAGTCAGCTGACAAATATGCAGCTCTTGCTAATTTAGATAATATCTTCAGTGCAGGGCAAGGTATTAAACTTTATTGTTTGCCATGGTTATTCCGTATGTGTATAGTTACCACAAGGATGGCTGTGCTTGTCAAAGTACTATAACAGTATATCAGAATTTCCCTTCTCTAAGTGATCAGCAGAATTTTGTGTCAATGTACCCTTAAATATGCAAGATATGAGTTTTAAGACATCATTCCAAAAGAATGTCATTAGAAGACTACTTTTTGGGAACCTATTTCCTATCGAGATGAATAATTCAACATTAAAATATCTAAATAATCATTACTTCAGTAATAAAAACATACAAAAATACAAATACATATTTTATATTTGTACTAAAATCTGTAGTGGATGCTCTGGAATGGAGAGCTGCAGTTGTTAGAAAGAGCTACCAGAGCAGCTTTCCTACCTCTCTGCCACAAAACCAGTTGGCTTTAGTTTTTCATAAAATAGTAACAGTGATATTTGGATTTAGTTGATAGTAAATTGAGGAGAAAAACCTAGTTATTCTGTTACTCAAATGTAGTTCTCCTCAAATGGTGTGTAAAACTTATTTTCATTTGTACTCCAGAGTTTGTTCTGAAATAGATTATTTGAAGTTACGTGTTCTGTGCATTTTCTAGTGGAAGATGAATGGATTATTTTTCTAGGAAAGCAAAAGCTCTTTGGGGCTGCAGAGTACCATAGAGGCAGGACATTTTGCTAACAGCTAATGGCTTGTTAAATACTTTTTCCTCTATGCCCTTGTGCATATTTAATTTTTAAGTCTGCAACCGTCTGTGAACTTTCATTTAGTTCTCAATGTCAGCAGGACAGAAAGTGAAACCATCTCCAGTATGCTTAATCTGCTTGCTTTCTTTCTAGGTGGGAGTGAGCAGGGAAGTGGCTTCAGCACAGCAGTGTCCTCAGCAGGCCCTGCCTTGTCAGCCCCCAACCAGTCAAGTGCATCTTCAGACAAGTACGCAGCGCTGGCGGAGCTGGACAGCGTGTTCAGCTCCACGGCCACCTCCAGCAACGCGTACACCGCCACCAGTAACGCCAGCAGGTACGCTGCCAGGCTGCCCGCTGCCTGCAGCAGCACAGAGCAGCTTGAACCGTTTCTCAAATCTGCTTGTTCTTATCTAAATGGGGAAGCATTGAATGAGTTTAGAGGTACTGCTGAAACTACATCTCTTGTTTTCAGTAATGGCAGTACTGAGGGATAGCCTACTCTAGGAACACTGTCAGTGTTGGTGGAGATGACTTGCCATTGCTCAGCACTAGTGAGAGTGTCTGACCCTGGAATCAGGGAGGTACATTGCAGTCTGCAAACTGCATATACGTGTTCGTCCCCTTTCTTTTACATGGCAGCAGTAACTGTAAATTGTATTTGATTATTAAACAAGCAATTCTGACTTCACTGAATGAATTGTATAAATTATTTCCAGCAATGCTTTTGGAACAGTACCTGTAGCTGCTACTGCACAGACACAGCCTGCATCTTCAAGTGTGCCTGCTCCATTTGGAGGTATGGAAGTGTTGCTAACACTCTTTGGGGACTGTAAGCAAGCAATCTACTAATTTTTATTTGATAATGCTCTGCTTTGAGACCACTACTGCTGAAGCTAATAAAGGTACTATTAACAAAAAAGTACTGTCAAAATAACTATATTTTTAATGTATCTTACACATTCCTGGTTTTGGCCTAATTTTAGGTATTTATGTGTCTTTGTATAAAGGCCGTATAGACTTCATGTGAGTCAGATTTGCTGCTAGAGAAACACTTAATCAAATGTCTTTAATCTTTCAGCAACACCTTCCACAAATCCATTTGTAGCTGCCCCTGTTGCCCCAGTGGCACCTTCAACAAATCCATTCCAGACCAATAGCCGAGGAGCAACAGGTTAGGAAAAAATACATTGAGTGTTTGAGAAACTTTCTTTAAAGAATTGCATTGATTCTTTTTTCATGTGTCTGTGTAATATGTTTCTTAAAGATTTTCTGTAATATCTGTCCCTAGTCTATTTGACATGTTGTGTGTTTGCTCCATGTTGAGGTGCAATTCTATGATTTCAAATGGTGGCCATGAAAAATGTTGAAATGATCTGTTTGAGCTCTACCTGTTTGTAGTGTATCTATCACCAGCTGGGTTCCTTCCAACATGATAACCTTGGCTTTAGAACATGCTTTATAGAAGGTAGCCCTGAAATCAGGGATCTTGAAAGCTGTTCTTAATTTCTTTCTTTATTTTGAAGTGTTGAAAGCTCTCAAGACCAAAGAGCTGGAGCCAGAGCCATGGCTATGGGATGCTAGCTCCTCACCAGTCCACTTATTTAGTACATTAGTGTCTCTTTTTTAAAGCACACGTTTAATCTTTACACTCATTTTTTATATTAATTTTCTGTGGGATGATTCTGTAAAATCATAATTCCATGAGGAAAACTTAATCACTTTCTAAGAAAGCAAACTTCTACTTTAAAACTATGAACTTGGATTAGATGGTTGCTAGGTTATGCTGGTTTTCCTCTCCAGAGCAACTGCTAAATTTTGACACTTTTTTCTGTTAGCTGGACTTCAGCAGATTAAAATCTGCTGATGTGTGCATTTTGAGATTTGAGTTGTGGTTTGCTTAATGATTTAGGTAGGCTGAGTTAAAAATTGATTTGATAAATTTGTGTCCTCTGCTGAAATTAATTTGTTTCCAGTTCCTTTAGAGATATTATGCAGCTAAATTTGTTCAGATATTTAATGCCCCAAATACTTTTTTTTCTTTATTTTAATTCCATTCCTAAGTGAGCTACTTTGGATCATTGTTAGGGGTTTGTAGCCTCTTTAGATAAGTTTCTTGAATATGGCACCTCTATCCTTCCACCTTCTATACAGCTGTTCCTGGCTCACTGAGGTTCCAAGCCTTTGGCAGCATCCTGATGTTCCACACTAGGTGACAGAGATAATGTCTATAAGTAAACATAATGCTCAGCCCCTTTCAGTGTAACGTGTAAACTTCAGGCTTGTCCTTTTGTGTCCTTGTTCTTCCTGCACGAACTTTGCTTTTTAGTACATGGGAGATCTGTTTTGTAGAGCTTATTTCTGATGGTTTTCTAATACTAATCTATTGCTGGTCATGTTGTTGATGAACTGTTTGGTACATATATGTGTATCTATTACTCTCTCTATATATAAATAACTAAGAAATGACTGTTGAAGAGTGTATAAATGATTTGACATTGTCTGGTCTCTTTGTGGCTTCCATAAGGCCTCTCGGGAGCAATGCACTCTCACATATTTCCTCAGGCTCATTTTGGTAGGTGGCCACATTTGGTATCAAGTTTCTTGTGGCTAATTGTTCTTGCTTGTAAAAGCTTATTGACAACTATCTGGTTCTCTGCACAAAGAATTGTGGAAGACTTCTTAAAAATTGAGTGGGTGTGAGTATTTGGCAACTGGGCAGAGGGAGAGAAGAGCATACATAGACATCCTGTTGAGCAAGCAAAACAAAACCATTATTGATATCATTCATGGTCACCATATAGTGCTAATGAGTGACTGTTAAGTTTCTGCCAACAGTAGTATCCCCAAGTCCCCTGCTGATATTGTTGTGCTTCTTTTTGCTGTTTTAGCCAAGTTTGCTGTGGAGTAGCTGCTCTGCTCACTGTAACTTGAGAACAGTGTTAGTACATTAGTTTTGCGTGCACTTGTCAACATTGTCTGTATAATGTCTTGCCCTTGGACACTTTTGGGGTAAATATTTCAACTGATAATTAAGCTATATTAATTAAATTTATTTTAATAGCTTTTTTAAACAGTTGAGCTTGCATAAAATGTAGTTTATAACATTTCAAAAGAGAAGTCCTGTTTAATTAGCTTAGAATACCTGGTGTCTGTATTTGTACTAAAAATCTTTCTATACATTTCTCTTTGCAAGAATGACTCCCAAAAGACTGAATAATGGTTTTGTTACTATACTTTTGCACCTCATGTGCTCCTGTTTATTTGCTGAAGGCATGGGGAAATGCTTATGAGCTGTCTGTTCTTTACTTGAAATGTTCAGCAGAGAATCAGATGAAAAGTTTTGGGCTATTTTTGTTTTAAGTTCTACCTCAACAGAAAGAGGGTTTGCAACAGGAACTTTGTGTGCAAATAATGTGCATGGTGCGAATCTCCTTAAAGACATTAAAGATGGGATGATAAAAGGGGATGCATGTATCCCTTTGATTTGTTTGTTTTTTTGGTTTTTTTTTTTTAAATAACCCCTGTAGTGCACCTTGAAGTAGGAAAATCTTTCCATGCTTTTCTCAGAAGGAGAAAAACAGAGGGGTTTAGGCTGCCTGAACCTGCTTGCTTCTTGTGTTTACAGACTTCTACCAGAAAAACTGTGAGGGAAATATATGGTAATACATGATAATATATAAGAACAAAAAATAATTTCCTCTTCAGAAAGTATATCTGAATGTGCTGGATCTACTAAATTTTAAATAACGCCATTCACTTTTAAAGTGTAAATGCAAATTATGCACCCAGTTGGTGGTGATGGAAGGGAACAAATCAATTCAGTAGCTGTAGAAGTTGAACCAAACTTTCATCCAGTCATAGAGGGCATTAGAAGACTTTTAACATGGCCCTATAGTAATTTGTTCCATGAAAAAAGTGACTTCTTACAAATAATTGCATGTTATTTTTTGCCTACCAGCAGCAACATTTGGTACTGCATCCATGAGCATGCCGGCAGGATTTGGAACTCCTGCCTCCTACAGTCTTCCTACTAGTTATAGTGGCAACTTCCAGCAGCCCACGTTCCCAACCCAGGCAGCTTTCCCTCAACAGACTGCTTTTGCTCAACAGCCAAATGGTAGGTCTGAATGTTTTACATAACCTTGTCTAAATCAGAAACATGGAGAAAATGGTCTATCTGTTAAGTTGGTAATAATGGGTGGATATTTATTTCCACATGAACTTGATAGTAATGTTGATGAAAGGTTCCCACACTATTCTGGCTCTCTAGTTGAGCCTTCTGACTTGGCTATGTGCAATTTCATAATTACCAAACTGAAATTTTACCAAAATCTCATACTAAAATGGTAAGTATTCCCAGGCTTAAAGGGCTTTTAGGCAAGAGGGACTGTTAAGGAATATCTGCAACACATTATTACACGTTCTCTAACTTCATAGAACACAGGCAAGAGAAAATTGGGAAGTATTTTCTTCCTGAATTGATACGATAGAACATTGAGAAAAGTGCATATGTAGAAATTGGAGATTGATGAGTTACAAACAGCTGAAAACAAAAAGCTCAGCCACAGTGTTTTACACTTACATTTCTGATCATGTTTAAGTAGAATCAGTCCTGCTGATTCTGCAGTTCAAACTTACCCTTAATTTTGGCTGGGAGCTGTAGCAAAGAACTCTTTGAACATTGTTTACTAGCATTAATATTTTTTACTTTTCTTTCCAAGGAGCGGGTTTTGCTACATTTGGGCAAGCAAAGCCTGTAGTAACTCCTTTTGGACAAGTTGCAGCTGTTGGAGTATCTAGTAACCCTTTTATGGTGAGTTGTTGCATGTCAATGACTTCTGTATGTCCAAAGAAGAATAGTCTGTAACACTTAATTTAGAGATACACAAAGATTAGGGGTTTTTTTTTGCTTTTAATAAGGGAAGGCAGCATTTGACTCTCCTAACTGCAGCTCACTGTTTGGATGATATGCCATTTGTAAGGATGTTCAGATCAAAGCAGAGGTGCTTTCATACATGTTCCCAGAGTAGTGTAATTCCAGAGAAGCAGCAAAAAACAGATTGCAATATAAAACAGAAGTATTCCCCAGCAGCTTATTTTAATATGTTCTGCATTTTATTTACAACATGGGAAAAAAATTTAAATACTTGCCTTATTTTTCTTTGTTCCTTTTCCCCCAGGCTGGTGCACCAACAGGACAATTTCCAACAGGAAGCTCATCAACCAATCCTTTCTTATAGCCTTATAGACACTTTACCCAAAAGAACTCTTATGTGGTCACATAACATCTCTGCGCCTCTTGCACTGTTGTCTTGTTTCACTGATATTAGCTTTAAACACAAAAGAAGTCTTTAAGAAGTAAAATAAAAGCCTGCATTGTGTACCTTTAAAAGTTTCAAAAAGAAAAAAAAAAACCACCCAATACAAAAACAAGAACACCAACCCCACACCAGGTTATAACGTGCAAAACAGAGGGCTGTGGTAATATCCTTGAACCTGTGAGGTGGCAGGTAAAAAGTAGCGGTATCATGTGTATTAAAATTGGCTAATAAGTTATTGCAGATACCACACTCATTATGCTGCAGTACTGTACATATTTTTCTTAGAAAATAGCTATTTGTGCATATCAGTATTTGTAACTTTAACACATTGTTATGTGAAAAATGTTACTGGGGAATAGATCAGCCACTTTAAGGTGCTGTTGTATCTCTTGGAATGAATGAGCTGCATCATTTTAACCATTGATATTGGAAGTCACAAAGTTAAATTGAAGGTTTGTTCATTTCTCAAAATGTTTTCCTTTCCTAAGAGCTCTTCTATTTATACATGCCTAAATCTCTAATGTTAGAGGGATACCTGTCTGCGTAATAAAGCTGATCATGTTTTGCTACAGTTTGCAGGTGAAAAAATAAATATTAGAAAAAAGAACTGTGTAGCATTATTTCTGTGCAGTAACATTTACTGGATGAAAATGTACACAGTGTCTTGTACACAGATGAAGTATCCAAAGCAGTGTGTTATAGGTGAGTTAAGTTTGACATTTTCACATGCCTCACTTGGATGAGTTTCTCTTTGTCCTTGTGATGAAGCTTACTGTTCTAGCTCAAGTGAAGTGACCTGTCACACAGGGGAGCGTCAGGTGAGGTTTGGATTGTTGAATAGAGTATGTCATGAAGGACACTGGAAGCACTGTGAAAGGTAGTTATTGGAGAGAAGGTTTGCAGCAAAAGACACCTAATTATGGGTAACTTATGACAGGCTCTGAACAAGCCTTAGTTGTGGTCTGACCAGAGTGTGTAACAGCAGGCCAAGGGACCACAGATGTAATAGTCCTCTCTTTATTAAAAACTGATGCATATCAGTAAGCGCTCCTGTGGAATATTAAATTTTTTTTTCTAATTTACAGAAATATCTCCTGCCATACTACAGTGAAATTTGTAGAGGGGAAAAATGTCTGGCTTGTCTTCCTCTGTAACAGTGATAAGGTTCAAGAAAAATATAACTGCATCCAAAGTAGTTGATGTTTTAAACAGAGATAATTTGGCTACCATTTAAGTGTAATACTGCAACTAAGCAAATAATGTAAGTATCTTGTGAATACATAAACTGAAAGCTTAAAGGTTTCTGACCAGCTGGAGAATAAAATTCTAACAGCCTTCAGGAAAACAGGAGTAATAAGGTGAGATTTTTTTTTTTTTTAAAGGACATGCAAGTCCATTTGAGATAAACACGAAAATTCTTTTAAGGCAAGACATTTCACTTGTAATTGACTGCCTGAATGTCAGATAGATTTTTCTAGGGCATCTGAAAGGTTTGACCTCTGTTTGTAAAAACATTTATGCTAATGCTTTTGACTTTTGTTGCCTGCCTATGGGGGTAGTAATTGCTTTTTGTTTGTTTTTGTTTTTTAAACTTTGGAAATACCAAGCAGGAGACAGGCAGCTCATAAAACATGCTGCCTGTAAGTTTTCCTTACTTAAATGTCTGCTTTTGTCCTGTTGGTATATTTAAAACGGGCTTGAAGTCTCTCTTTTGTTTCTGATGGAGACTGCTCGTGAGTGTGGTGTTCAGTTCAGTTCCCAGTGTTCTCTGGGGAATTCACTGAACAAATCCCCAGCAACTGGAGGTTTGCAGGGTACTAGTAACACCCTTACTCTCACCACTGTATTTTAGCACAGTGTAAATAGTTGTAACTCGCTGTTCACCAGCCTTGACTGTTTCAGATAGTAAGAGGTAAATGCAGGGGAGAGTGGGGAACTGCAAGGGTTCAGCAGGGATTGTGGAATACTTAAAAATGCTTAGTCCAGAGAACTGGTCCAAAGCAAAAAGATGTCTTGTCAGTGAGATGATAAGTTATGGAAGAGCAACAGTTCTGTGCCTTCTTCACTTACAGTGGTGTAAATTAGGTTTTGGGCAAGGGCTAATGAGATCAGCAGAGTTTGTCCTAATCCAAATATTACTGCTGAGATTCTGAAACTGATTGAAATATGCAAGACATGTGGTTTAGAATATGCTGTAGAAGTAGTGGAATACTTTATTTTTCGTAACTGAATTAACTGCAGATAAAAGGTTTGCAACTTTTAACTATACACAAGCACACCTCTTTAGTCTGTGTTCACAGATTTTAGATTTGTCAAATTCCAGATAAGCTGAAGATCTTGTATTGTTTTGAGTCTTCTGTATATTGAGCATAAACTGACACCATAGGTGTTTCATTGATTAGGTTTCAAAATAGCTTTATTTACAAAATTAATTTTTCACCCAAATTTGAAATGTTTTTATCATGAAGTCTCTACAGTTGTTCCCTCAATTGTTCTCACAAATAGCGTAGTTGCCTAAAAGCTGTATTTTTATGCTTTAGCATCAGAGCACTTCACTTGATAACTTTAGGCCCCTTATACAGAAATTAATATGGAGACCTCCTAGATTAGACTTCAATCCTAAACATCAGCTGTTACAAGTGTAAGAAGATGCTACACTTGCAGGAAAGTCTTGAGTTCTGTAAGACAGATGTGATGTGCAGTTGCAAAAGTCTTAAGATTTCCAAAGGCCTCTGCGACAAATTTTCTGACAGGTCATTGTACAGTTCAACTGCTTTAGATTCTCTGGGCATGTCTGATGGTCTTCTGTCAGTAAATAAATTGCCTTAAATTTCTGCATTTGATGGAAATACTCAGTAGAAGGTTGTTCTGTGAGGTTCATACCACCTCTGGTGTGAGGTTGAGGCATTTGTATGTCCTTGTGCTCACTGAGCCTTAATAGAAGTTTGTATGTCAGATCACTAGACTTGAATTAGAAGACTGAGGAATGTTTGTATTAAACTCCTGGTGAAGAAAATGGACCAAATGCGTCATCCTGTTGACAAAGCTCTCTGTGCAGTAGGCTCATAAACAGCTTGCTTCAACCTGGACCAGTTTTGCTTGATTGAACATTATATTTCTCCTGATTTGTTGTCCAGATGATGGAGCCTTCTGCATTGTTGCTTGTAATGATTGCTTTTGTCTCAGTTTTTAAAGGGCAGTGCTTTCAGCAGCCACACTTGTATTTTTGCATTTAATGGAAATTATGGTGTATATGCTTCTGATCAGGAAAATTCCAGTTATGACTATGAAGTAGCTGCCATAAATGAGAAACTGGGAAATGGAGGTGGGGAAGGAGAAAAGTTGTTATCTAATAGCAAATATAGTATTTGACTCTAAGGGGTGTCCCTCCATTGCTGCCTTCCCTTCCATGTCACCTGTGCCCATAATGACCCCATCTTGAGAGGATTCAAGAAGTCTGGACTGCATGACTTTACACTGTAGAAGTTCTGTGGTTGTAAAACGGGGAGAGAATGTTCTGTTATGTACTTCTCCACCTCAGTAAGGGAGGACAGCTGTCCTGCACTTTGTCTCTTCTCAGGAAACATGAAACCTAGAGACTTTGACTCATTTAATGTCTAAGTTTAAACTAATTTTAGAAATCTAATGGGGAATTGGAATGAATTAATTTTCAGAATTACAGTAACATTAAAAGTGTGTGTGCTGGAACTATGTAACTTGGAATTACCCTAGTAATAGACCCATAGGTTGTCTTTCAGCTGGCTTCCTGCTTCTGGTTAGGGTATTTTGACTATAAACTTGTGAATAGTAATCCTTTATTTTAAAGCATACCCAGAGTAATAGGTAAAACTTGGCCCTCTGTTCTGTGAACACAGAATATTTTCGAGTCATCCCAGCACTGGGGGGCCTAGAGGACAAGCAGGTTGTAGTAGTTAAAGCCAGTTCACTTGAAATGAACCTTTTTCCAGTTGAGTAATTGTCCTGAGCTTGCACATTGCCACAGGCTAATCTTGGAGTAGAGCTTGATTTGGAGGAGAGTAGGGGAGCTAAGCAGTGGGACTCAGTGGCTTACCTGAGTGCTGATATCCAATCCCAGACCTCTTGAATCTACTACAACAACAGTTAAAATTGTCTGAATCACCAGCGCAACAAAGTTGTTGAAGCCAAACATCAAAGCATAACGCTCCATGCTGAGGTTGACAGCAATCTGAAACCTGACAATGAATGCAGAGGTTCACAAAACCGTGGAGAGCAAGGACAGGTGGATGCACTTTACTTATGGGAACAGTTTAAAGTGCACAGAGCACTCTTCAAAGGGCAAGGCCACTTTAGTCTTGGCTATTAAGCTTTATCAGCTTCATTTTGACAGAAATTTCTTGGGTTTTTTTCTGGCCTTGTGACTTTTGTGCATCTTATTTACCCTTGCCTTGGATGAATATTTTTGCTAAATATCTGTGTATATTCATTGGATCATTTTGAGAATACTCAGACATTGGTCATTGAACAGCCAAGTGCAGAAGCGACCTTGTTCTGACTTGGAGTGTACTATGGTAACAGTTAGGTCTTACAATTTTATCCAGTTTTATACAGGCTAGAAACAATGTATACTACTGTCATAACCTATTTATATCTAGGGAAAGGTCTAGTAAAATTTAGATAAATATAAAACTTTGACAGTGATTCAAATCAATTGAGTTAGAACAGTTATATGGTGTACTTACATATAGGTCTTACAATTTTATCCAGTTTTATACAGGCTAGAAACAATATATACTGCTGTCATAACCTATTTATATCTAGGGAAAGGTCTAGTAAAATTTAGATAAATATAAAACTTTGACAGTGATTCAAATCAATTGAGTTAGAACAGTTATATGGTGTACTTACATATAGGTCTTACAATTTTATCCAGTTTTATACAGGCTAGAAACAATATATACTGCTGTCATAACCTATTTATATCTAGGGAAAGGTCTAGTAAAATTTTGATAAATATAAAACTTTGACAGTGATTCAAATCAATTGAGTTAGAACAGTTATATGTTGTACTTACGTTGCTATTGTTATAAGGAGCATATAGCAGGCTTTAAATGCAAGGTAACCAGCATAACATGCCCAGATGTTGTCAGTGAAGTGCATAAGAAGCAGAGAACCAGCATCCAGTGCAGAGAAAATTCCCAAAGCCAATTCTCCAGAGAGATCCCAGTTTACTTTGACATATCCAACTGCCATGGATGTTGCTGAACCTAAAAATTGAAAAGTAGTAATTAAAACTTCAAAACACTATCGTTGAGAGCCATTGCATAACTGTAATTGGATCATGCCAGGAGCTCTTCTGTCTTGGTTACAGTGGACTTTGGTAATGGATTATATTTCTTGTTAGCGGTGTGGGAGTCTTCCATTACTTAGGATGATTTCCTCCTTGCTTAGGCCCTTCACTGACTGAAGGGCTCTGGAAGAATGCCTCATGCCTGAGACTGGAGGCAGCAGTACACAATCTCCTCTGAGAAGGAAAAGCTTATTTATATATGTTTTTTAAGACTGATTTTTAAGAGCCCACTGTAAAAGCTTATAGTAAAATCATGCCTTGCATACTGTTTATCTCTGTCTGTTTACTTTAGTCCTCACAGGAGATGGAAAGGCACCAAACACATTGCACAGGATGGGTTGCAAGTACTGGTAAATGATTGCTTACCCAAAAAAGTTGCTATTGCTTCGACAGCTCCGTTGTACACCGCGGAGCTGTGCGAGGGGGCTCGGAAGTCCCACAGCACCTGCACATAATTCACCACCTGGTTGAAGCCGGCCGTGGCCAGAGCCCACCACAGGGACCAGCAGAGGAGCTTGCGGGAGCCGTAGCAATCCCTCAGGTCCCGGCCCAGCTGCAGCAGCACGCTGAGCATGTGCCTGTGGGGCCTGGCCCTGCCAGCCTGGGGCTGGGGGCTCGGGGCCCTGGCAGCAGCATCGGGGCTCCTTTCCTCTTGGCAGCTCCAGGGCCCTTTGCCAGGCCCTGGCAGAGGCTCAGGGGCATCTTTCTTGTGGAAGAACATGCTCCTCTGGGGCATGGGCAGGAAGAAGGCGCACAGGAATGCCAGGGACACGGAAGCCAAGCTGATGGCGTTGAGGCAGAAGTAGGAGACGTGTGCTAAGGACACCAGCAGCTGTCCCAGCACAGCGGCCACGGTGGCTGCCACCAGAGTGGCACTCCTGCAGTAGCTGGTGACCCTCTGGTAGTGTTGGGTGCTGACCACGCTGTAGATGTAGGCGTAATAGGCCACCTCGGTGGCTGTGACCATGCCATAGAAGAATTCCACCAGCTGCATGGCCAGCACGCCATGTGCAAAGAGCAGCAGGAGCCAGGTGACGATGAGGCTGATGCCCTGCAGGAGGAGGACAGGCTTGTAGCGCACGTAGTCTGTGAGCAGGAACACTGGGAAAAGGAGAGCCAGGTAGGAGTATGTCCAAACTGGAAAAATCTGGTTGGTAACCTGGAACACAACAAAAGTGGAAGCGTTAAAGCAAACAAGCAATACAGCCCCAACCCCCCATACATTTAAAATACCCTTTTGGATGGTGTTACTGCTGAAGCAACATAGTTGTAATTATATGAAACGTTGAATTGTGTGAACAGTGCAGGCTTATACTGCTTTCAGATACAAGGCTGTGACTTCAGTGTGTAAAGACTAAAGACAATGATGCTGCGCTCCACTAAAGAAACAGATTGGCTTAAAAATTCCAGTGAAGGCCTATGAAGAAGGCAGGTTTTGATGGGCAGCTGTTTAAAGCACTTGTAACTTTGTGTCTGATGTAAGTCTCTCTAGTTTCAAATCCTATTCCCTACTGTGCCTGAAAATGATGGCCTGTTTTAACTTAATGTGAGTAATTGTATACCTTTGGTCACCTCTTTCCCTTGTTAGGTATAGGGGAAAAAAAAACATGTGCCTCTTACAAAGGGGAACTGGAACTACAAATAGTGTGTAGCTGCTACTAGGGTATTGTATCATCTATGCTTTTCTGATTTAAAGCATAAGAAGTAAGGAAGTCTTTCAGTAAGTTTAAGTTGGGGTTCAATACATAGATGCCCTGTGAAGAAATTATTTATCTTTTTTTTAAAACTGTTCTGGGTTTGAGTTGGAAGGTGCTGTTTGTGGTTGCCACTAAAGCTCAGTGCTTGCCCAGACAGTTTGGACACACCTGGGGCAGGTATCCCTCTTACATGTACATCACAAAGCAACCTTCTGTGACTCTTAAGTCGTGTGTTTTGGGGAGATTTTGCCCAGTAATTGTGGAGCTTGCTGAGGTATCCATTCCTGATCTCTTGTTCTCTGCCTAAGCAATTAGACTAGAAAGGAACTGTATCAAATGCTGGAGGAATGCTTTTTACTTCTGAGCAGGTACTGGAATGAGTTGCATGGTGAACTGCAGGTTCACTTTTTTTCTGTGTGACTTCTTTTGTTTCTCTGAACTTAGAATTACCTCATGGAATTAACTCACTGGATGTGAGTTTGACTGAAAGAGATAATATATGTACTGTGCTTGATTTTGAGTTAAGGATTCTTGCTGAAATCAGAATTAAGGTATTCTGTGGTGCTATCTGTGTGATTTATAGAAGATATAATGCTTTCGTTTGTGCTTAAAAAAATTAAAAGGGGGGAGAAAAAACTCCCTGACTACCTAAACCACAGATACCTTTTTTAGCAGAAACCTTGGGTTCACAGTGTGCTGGTAGATTCTGCCTTAACATTTGCTACTGCACATCAGGAATGACTGTTCTTCATATTAGCAGTATGTGGGTGTAGCAAGCCTGTGTTTTCTAATTATACCATTAGCTCCATGACTCAGCCACGTGTTAACCATGTCCCCTTTTGCTGGGAGGTATACTCCTGAAGCAGCCAGTGCTGAACATAGGAGCATAGCAAGGAAGCTTGGAGTGCATGTTTTTGTTAAAAAAACCCCAATTTTTCTGAACATGAACCTGATCTCCACAGGTTAATGAATGCATGAATTACAGGGAATATAGGAAATAAGCTTACAACTCATAAAGGGAAGGCTGCTTAGCTGGCAAGGCTGCTTAGCTTTCTTATGTTTTTAAATAATTCTGTCAGTGTAATCAATTCCATGGTAAGTATAAATAAATGTCTCTTCTGGGGTGGAGAGAGGAACTAGCCTCTTTTTGCCAACTGGCCTGATTTTGCCAAAAATATCAACCACCAGAGAGGTTTCAAAGTCCTAGGAATGTAGGGATTTTAAAGTTTGGACCTCCTTACTCTTTTCCAGAAGCATCTTAAATATGGACCTTTAGATAAAATATTCACACTTCATCTTCCCTGCAGTTACTGCTGTAAGGCCTAATGCTTTCAGCATTTTAGTTACTGCTTAAGAGAATAGTTACATACCTCTTCAGTCGTTAGGTTTTTGTCTGGCCCTGTTAGATAGGGGGTGAGAAAAGATTCTGATGGCCTCATTGTGGTGAAAAATCCATTTGCACAGATGATCACTGTGGGATAAATCCAGCTGTGGCTTACAGCTCCCTTCCAGCAATCCATAATTTATCTAAACAAATTTAAAAAAAGGTGGCAAAGAAAGAATAGGTGCTCTTCACAGTTGGTAAAAATTCATTTTCAAGTTTACTTTTTAACTAAACCTACACTTAGTCCCCTGAAGCTACAGCCACCAGTGAGGGCTGTGGTGGTGGCACCCAGTGTAACTGTACTTAGGGCGATGGGTGGCAGTGTGACAGCCAAGGGCTGCCTGCGTGTGCAGATGTAACCAAACCACTGATCTCAAGCCCTCCGGCACTGAGCTGCACGCCTGCATCTCCTGTTAGGCAGGGACACCTCTGGCAGTCACTCCTGAGGCTGAGATTCTCTGCTGCAGCCCAGTCTTGGTAAGTGACTAACGGTGTGCTCCGCCTCGGAACCTTGGCTAAGTCATATAAAGAACTTACTGCACTTATTGTGTAATCCTTTAGGTGGAAGGATGACCAAATCTGGGACTAGGAGTGGGTCTAAGCTGCACCCAGGCTCCTCTCTGAGAGAAGTTTACAACCCAGTGACTTAGTAGGAGGGTCTCTCTGACAGTTTTACCTGATCTTGTCATCTCTGCATGAAGTCAAGCACACTATTCTGCTGAGTCTTGTTAAAGCACCGTCACATCTACCACTGAACTTTATTATATTGATAAAGGGCATTGTCGCTTCTGTCTGGTGAGAAGTGCATGGCTCCAGCTGTGCCACGTGCCTAAGCCAATGTTCCCTTCTCTGAACCTGCCTGGCATCACAGCTGCAGCTTGGAAATGAGACACTGGATCAAGGTGCATCAGCCCTGTATTGTCTGTCAAAGGTTGTTCGTAGTAGCGTGCTTAGGGCTGAGTGGCTGTGCTGTAGCAGAATAAAGTTCAATTACAGTCTCATTTCTGAATAAATGAGTGGACAGTGTGTGAGATTAAAGCTCATTCTGTGTGCTCAAGGAAGTTTTTTTTCTGTTGATTTGCAAATCTTTGATTTTTTTGTTGATTTGACTTAATGACCATGCAAACATTCTTGATGGCAATAAAAGCCGTAAGGCATCTCAACCCATTGTGACCTCAGTTTTCTTAAAATGCTTTAACACTAACCATGTTTCTTGTACTCCAGTCATTGGAGAGAGTAAAGAACGATCCAGATACAATCTGCTCATGGTACCTGCTTAGACTAAGAATAGAGAACTATTGACTTCACTTTTGAAAGTGATGACCAAAAGGAAAAGCAGGCTTGTTTCTTCAGTGTAGTTGGCAGCAAAAAGAAGTCTAGAAAGATTTGGTTTTTAAAGTTTATTTTACTACTTTTGTGTTAAAAAGTCAATTTCACTTATCCTGAAAATAAGTGAAACAGTGTTTTCAATCATAGGCAAATGAAAGCAAAGCACTAGCTGATGTTTAATCATGCTGCTACAAGCTGTGTATCTTAAATTGCTGAATTCCACTCTATAGCAGGCACTTTTGAAAAAGTGCTTTTGCTTGCACTGTGAGATGATATCCATTAAAACTTAATATAAATTGTATGTTACAAAGACAATATTTTTGTGAGATCAGAGGAATGTTAGAAAAAGCAGCCCTAACCTTGTAACTTGATTTTAAAAAATTGCCTCTGTCATCTTTCTCTTACAAATAATTGTAAATAAAATATAGTCTCTAGTATCTTTAACTCAAGACCTTATTTGAAATGTGATTAACAATATAACAACTAAGCCCTGGGCTGATCAGTAACATCTGCATAAATCTTGCATCACCTCCACATGTACTGAGCAAGTGAGTAGCCAGCACACTCCCGAATAATTCCAACAGTGATGAATTACCTGTCAGGGCACTAGCTGTGGTGCATTTCCTGTGGATTCAGGTGCAGTTCTTCCTAGGATGGTTTTGTCTTGCAGAGAAGTCAGAAAACCACCCTTTTGAGCTGGTGGTAGTCAGAAATTTCTGTAACTTTTTTCCAAAAAGTTATTTCTAAACTTGATAAAATTTTATCAGAATTTAAATAATAATAATAACAATTTGTCATAGCTGTTCTTTCTTGCAGAACTTGTCCATGAAGATTGTAGGGAAAGTGTTCTTTATGGGTTTTGTCAGCAAACTGAGTTCTATTTTTAAGATAAAACTATAAGACTTAGTGCAGCTAATGATTAATAAAACCTGTTGTGACAAGAAAGCAATGATTGCATTCTTTCTGTTAATAAATACCTTTAAAAGCTCTGGTCTCTGATTCATGGCAAGGCAGATATCCAGTTGTACAGTTTGTGATAACAGCGTCCTTGTCCCATGCAGAGCACAGAAGCCTCTGGGCTCATGGGGTGTGCTCTGACTGTCCTGGTTTTGCTGGGGCTTTGGGAGGTAGGACGGCACATGCTTCCTACTATTAATTGGCCAGGAACTACTTCTGTATGATGACAGATCTGTCATTTAAGGACAAATGAGCAATATTAAATTGCTAAATCTAGGTTCCAAGCTAAAAAATTAACAGGCTTGCTTCAGAGAAATGTTGCTGCTTTTCCTTCCTTTACCCATTTTTTTTAGAGTGTACTGCCTGCATTTTCCAAGGTTCATCAGAGGCTGGAGTTCACCCTGAAGCTGTTGGTAGCACGTGTGTTGCCCATGGGAGCAGATGCTGGAGTGCCCTTTGTGAGCTCTACAGAGCCTGGTCTGGTCCTGCAGGTATGGGAGGTTCCCTCAGTGCTGAGGTGTGGTGCAACCAGGCAGGAAATGCTCAGGGGAGCCAGGCCTGCCTCTGCCCTTCATCCTCCTTCCTGGCCAAGGGCTTCTGAGGCAGGGAAAGAGCCTTGGGAAGGGAAGGTGCTGCTGGGCAGAGGCTGAAAGGGCTGCTGGCTCATGTTTCTGTGGTAGCCCACACAGTGCTCGGGCAGTACCTGCATGTTTTGAATACAAACACACTATTTGTTCCTTCCTTGTTTGCTCAAACTGGCCTTATCAGATTCTTGGCCTGTATCTTCATGGAAGATTTGTGCCCAAACCCACCAATGTTTCAAAGGTAATTAGTGGTGTATTTAGAAGGGTTTGCAGCTATGGGGAGGAATGTGCCCAGCTCTGGGGTTCATGTTTGCATGGAAGCCTTTAACACACTGGAAGTAAAACAAGCCATACTAAAAGCTGCTAGGAGAGGTGGATGTTTTCCTGCAGAACTAGACAGCCTGTGTTTCCAGCTTTCCTTGTAACCTGCCAAGTCTCAGCTATCTCCTCTCCAGAGTTTGTGTGTGCAGGTACACAAACACACAGGTGCATGTGTATATCTTACTCTTGCAGAAACCTCTGATTGCTGGGTGAGTTCTGCTTTGCAGCTGAAAACCCAGGATAGCAAGGCCTTGTCTTTTGTCTCCTAACATTCCTTAGAGCTGCTTTCTTCCTCCCCTATTCCCCCCATAATGCTTCCTGCCAGCTTCCAACCTTAGAAACATTATTTTAGAGATTAGAGAGAATAGGAATTGATTATTTCTTCTTTAAAGTCTTAACTGTTTTCTGAATATGGTTTTCTCTAAAGCTGCAAGCCAAATACATTGTTTCTGCTCTGTTCCTTTGCTTCTCAGTGGCGTCCTATAGACACAGAGTTAGCCCTAGCCAGAACGTAAGAATGGAGCTGAAAATATGAAATTCCTCTTTTTAATTTAAACGCAAGCTCTTATCAACTTCTAGTCTGGGACTGACGTCTAATTCTAAACTGAATGCCTCAAAAGAAGATTGCTACTTAATTTTACTTACTTATTCTTAAGGAAGAATAGAAAAAGTAGTCCTTGCTCTCCTGTATTCTGTCCCTGTTTCTTCAGGCAGGAGCATCATGCCCTCAGTTCTGCAGCAAGAGAGAACTCTCACTGATGACTGCAATGGTTAAACTGTTCTCCTTAGAGCCAGTTTGCAGCAATGTCCCCACAATGCACAGTGGTAAACAAAAGGCCTAAAAAATTAGCCAGGTTCATTTTGTCAGATCCTACTGATACTTCTTTTGACTTGAAACAAATTGCTTCTGTCCTGCCTGCCCCTGCTCTGCGCACTTTGTCTAGTTGCAATGTGTGACAGTGGTATGAAAAGCTGGTCTGTACAAATGATAGCTTGTGTCTCTACAGGAAAAATATTCTGTAAATGCTAAGTGGTTTTTATTAGTTAGATGTAGATATTGGAAGCTAGAAGCAAACAGCACTACAGAAATAACTTCAGCATATGGATATAGTTCATATTAAATTATACATTCACTATGCAAACTCATTTCTAGTCTCTTTTTTCTTCTCCTTGACTGTCTTTTGGACAAAATTAGCTGTAGGACTTGGAGCTTCTTGACAAACTCTGAGTTTGGCTGGTCCTGCCAAATTCTTGGCCAAGATCAGTGGACCTCCCTCACTCGGCACTCAGAAGCACACACGTTTCAGTTATAAATCTTCTTGGATATTCCTGTTAATCTGGAATTTTCCTTTGTGGAATCAGCTAAATTTCTCCACAATGTCCTTCTCCAGTTTTAGTCTGTGCTACTTAAGACCCTTCATATTATTTATTTTCCTGCTGAAAGAGGAAGAAAATCAGTCCTGAATTTAATTTTACTGGAAGCACAAGCAAAGGAGTGGTTCTCTTGACTTTTACTTGTTCTCTGAATTCCCTTCTCGGCAGAGATTGCTGTGAAGTCAGCACAGTGTTTGTAGCTCTCAAATGTGGGCCAAGCAACAACTGTGATGTAGCAGTGTTGCAGTGAAGCTCCCAGGACGGGTAGTGCAAGCCCAGATTTTTGCAGCCTGTGTGCTCTGAGCTGTGGGATGAGACAGGAGGAGCCTGTCCCCCATCTGCCTGTACTGGGTGTGAAAGGATAGAATGATGCAAACATGATCTTTTCTTCCTTGGTTCAGAACAGGGCTGTGCAAAGGGGAGTCACACCTTCAGCCACTGCATCAGCAAATGTGACAGAAGCAGCTTTGTCAGCACCACATTCAGGAGCTACACTGAGCAAGACAGGGTGAACTCTGCTCCCTGCCATCATGCACGGGGGATGCAAAGGTGGTTGCTCTGATTCCGTGTATAAATTACTGCCCTTAAGCTATTTATACGCATGTAAATAAGAATCTAAAGCAACTTCTCTTTTATTCTTGGCACAGTGCCGTTCTGGTGAGCTCTCTGCTGGCATATGTTGTGCTGAAGTGCTGGAATGATTCAGCGTAGCTTTTCAGGGCTGAGTTGAACGTTCTTCTTGCACTGCTGTTCCCTGCACACTGCTCTTCTTCCCTGCTGGGAGCCCTTCTCCAGCCTGCCTGCCTCCTACAGCTGTGTCATGTAGCTTGTGACAGTCTGCTCTCTTGACTCGTGTTCAGCCTGGTTCAGCTGCTCTGGGCAAGATCTCTCTATTTTCCTTTGGCATTTGCATGAGACCAGCACACAAATGCTTCTGATCATGAAAATCCCATGTATGACTGCGAAGTAGCTGCCATAAATTAAAAACTGGGAGAGGAGGAGAAAAAGGCAGAACAATTAATGAAAGACACATTAGAGAAATGCTGCTTCTTCTGAAGATGACAGTCACTCTGATTTTCTTGTGTTCTGGCAGTTTCTCTATACTTGAGTTTTTGCCTTTTCAAGGTACACAGCAGATAACTGAAATGAAGAACTGCCCCTTCCATTCCTTATGCCTCTTAATAAACATCAGACAGGGAGAGGGATAAGAACAGGATATTTTTTCTATTAGTGCAAAATGTAGAAGTACCTTCATTACCCACATTGTCATGAATAATCCTTGTGAAGAACCTGAGTTCTTGTTTTGCTTTTGCACATTTCGGTAACTGTCACCACAATGGTTTCAGTAAATATACTGTTGATTTTATATCAGTATTTCCAACAACAGTGGCAAGGCTATTTATGAAGTCCTACATATTCCTGTCCTTAATTTTAAAGATTTAATGTTTGATTCAATCTTTACTCTCTCAAAGTCACTTTTGCCTACTCTGTGCAGAGTGTGAATAGCTTTAGTCTTTTTCAGACCCATTAGAGTAGAAAAGCTGCTCCAGCTGAGAGCCCATCAGAGAAAATGCAGAAGTCAGTGGGTTTCAGTTGACTTCAACATGAGTGACGTTGGGTTGAAGTTAGGGACACTGTTGTAAGATAGGATGTCCCATCCCAATAAAGTGCCCAAGTTGTGGGCAGAAGACTCTATTGTACATGCTGAGATACAGAACAGGTTTGCTCCTGAGCTGGAATTAGAAGTTACTTGAGCTGAAATAAATCAAATAATCCAGACTGTGCCTCATAGACCTGAACTCCCATTCTGCATCTGACAAAACCAGTCTGAGCTTTCAGGAAGAGAAAGGATGGTGTCCTATTAACTACTAAAACTGGTTGGATAGCAGGACCTGGTCAGTTATGTTCTGGTGTATCTCCCTTTGAAAAGTAACAGACCAGCATCTGTAATCCTAAATGCATTAAAAGGCAAAAGGAAAGAATGACGACAAATAGTGATGAAGAATGACAAGGGAAGAACACAATTTCTGGATTTCTATTGAAGAAAGAGAATTAAGTTGTCCTTTGGCTTAGGAATTTTGAAGATTATTTGGCTGAGCAGTAAATAGGAAGTAAGGTAACTGCACTTACTTGAGTCACTATGTCCAGTCCCAGGCCTCTTGAATCTACAACAGCTATTGTGAGAATGGTCTGGATCAGCAGGGCAATGAAGTTGTTGAACCCAAACATCAGGGCATAGCGTTCCATGCTCAGATTGACAGCGATCTGGAACCTAATGGGAAACTGGCACGTCAGTCACCCCCCACTGGGAAATCTATTGCTGTCCAGCAGTTGATGAAGAGATAATGATCCATGGAGATGGTGCATCAAGGACAGAGGAAATGGTGCTTCATTTGTTTGTTTGCTTCCTTGCTTTCTCAAGTCTGGGGTACCATAGTGTATTTTAATATTTTTTTTAACTGCATGGGCTGCTTTTCTAACCCCTGCTTTCAGCTGATCAGGTAGAATTTATGTTATCTATACCTTTCCACTTTGTTCCTTCTCTGCCTGCATAGACTGTGCCAGACAGGCTGTACAGAGTCCATGGCTGTGGCTGGAAGCTGACACTGGAAGCAGTTCTGCCCTGGCTGGGAGGTCACTCTGGGTATCTTCTAACCAAGTTTTCTGTGGTGATGAGTCACATTTTGCTTTGTGATTTGACAGTGGAGGTAACATGTTGCTTATTTCTGTCAAGAGCCTGTAGATTTTTACTTGTAATATCTTTTATGACAATAATCAGAACATCTTTCTTTGCAATATGTACCTGCAAAGTTTCTATACAAACAAAAGGGTGTTATTCCTTCAGGATTCATTTTCAATGATTTTAGCTTGGGAGATTTTTGCAAGATTTTACTTTGTTGGGTTTATTTTAGAATATATTGAAATAGTCCAGGTGTAATTAACTAAAATGTAATAACAATCTACCAAAATGACGAATAAGAGTTCATATGGCTTCTTTCAAGATAGGCATAACCTTGCCATGCATTATAATGTTAGCAATTTTTTAAAATGGTATCAGATTAATTTTGAAGTTTGACACAAAATGCGTCCAGTATTTTTGTTAATGAAATAGTGTGGTACGTCTAAAGACATTCCAAACAAGAAAATGACTGGAGCAATAACATTTTATATTTATTACACAGGATAAAATATTTGTTGTTAATATTATTTATACATTTCTATTTCTGACAACAGAATAGCTTGGTCTCCTATTTGATCTTGTCTGAGTTTATATATCCTATGTTCCCTTTTATTCCTTCTTTACATCTTAATATCGTTAATGATTATATCTATAAAATTATGTTGAGGAACACTTTATATTGAGTATTTTCCTGCATTCATGCAGTTCATGGCATGCTAAAAGATTTATCAGTAGGGGGTCTAGGCATATGGTGATCCTTTGGGATATGCTTGTCCCTATTGTTCACTTTGCATCTTTTATACCAGGAAGGAGGAAAATGGCTTCTACATTTTGCTGTTACCATTGCCTTTAGTAATAACATTACCTTGTGCCTTGTTTAATTTCTGCTTAGGTAAATGTTCGATGTCCTTTTGACAATTTTTCTTTCCTGGTTGTTTGGAAGAATGAAAACAGCATAAACAGACATTTTAGTGTTCTTGTCCTTACCTAAACAGTTATATCTAGCATTAGGTCAGCTACCTCTGAGGAAAAGGATGCCCAAATCAAACTCAAAGTAGGGTCAGTATTCTGTGCATGATGGCAGCATTGTGATGTTTTGTACTTACGTTGCTATTGTCAGGAGGAGCATATAGCATGCCTTGAAAATAAGATATCCAGCATAACATGCCCAGATGCTGGTAGAGAAGTGCATGAGAAACAGACAACTGGCATCTATTGCAGAGAAGATCCCTAAAGCCAGTTCTCCAAAATAGTCCCAGTTAATCTTCACATACTGTACAAGGAAAGATGTTAGTGAGCCTAGAAAAAGAGAAAAAAATACTTGTAAATATTGTATCTGTTCCACAGCTGTATGACCAAGTCTTGCCACACTCACATGCCAAAAGGCAATGCTGAATAATGAAGCAGAGTACTCTGAAGTTTGAAAGCATTCCTGATGCCTTCTGCAGCTGTGCAGATGACTGGTCATTTTAAGACAACTGCATAAATCAAGTCTCTTCCATTCTGCTCTTAATGTTTTATTCCACTTCACAAGATAAACTGTAATGCAGAAGGATTCATTATTTAGGTGTCTGTACACAGCATGTATCTCTGGGGGGAGAATTAGGAACATGTTTTGGAGTTCAAGAAGGAAATTCTTCCACCTTCTCCTAGCTAGGCTAGTAAACCTTCAATTGAACAGTTTAGCTCTGTCCACCTCATAGAGGGGGTAAACTGTCAAAAAAGTGAGTTTTGAGGCATCAAGGAAGAATATCCAAGAACGAGAAAGGATAGGTTTGTTTTTTGTGGGCCTCCTTGAATATGCATCTGTTGCAAAGTTAAGCCACCTGACTGCCCATCTTAGGGGTCCTAAACAATTTACAAACTTCTATACTTAGACAATGAGAAATAGGCAAGTCCACGAGAGAGAGAGAGATGCAGCAAGGAGTAGATGCTATAGGAGGTCTTCAAGTTCATGATTTACGTGGTCTATTTAGTTGCCTGCTGCAAAAGTAGTCTTTGTTTCTCCTTAATGTCTGTAAAAGTGACCTGAATGACTAGGTGTGAGGCAGATGTGTTTCTTTTTCCTGGTAAAACACACCCCCACGTCTTGTGCAAGTTCTTTACCATGGCACAACGTGAGCCAAGGCAGGGTGGTATCCTCTGATGTTACCTTTTGATAACCTCACTTTGCTTGTGTGGTGCAAGCATCTGCTCCTGGTACAGAAGTGGAATGGTTCACATTAGGATTGTAGGGATTCACAGAATCTTTTTTCCCTAAAAATCTGTATCTTGCAATGACTAAAATTTTTCTTTTCGTCTCGTTGCACAAGGGTATTTCACTAGAAAAAAAAATCTAAACAAGAGGATTATGTTCTTTTTGTGTAAAATTTTTACGGAAAACTTCTCCCATCTGTGTAAGCTGATAGCATTGTTATGGGAACAGTGCAATAATTGTTTTGGGGAAAAAAAAAAACCCCACCCAATAGCCTCATCCAAAGAAACAGGGGTGCTTCTGAATGGATTTACCAGCTAGATGCAGTGTCTGTGTGACTTGCACACTTTCTGCATACTGGTAAGTAACAGTTAATTGTCTGCTACTATAGAAAAACCAAAATAACTCACATTTGAACGGTTGTACATCAAAGACCTAGGTCTGGAATGCACAGGGTGTGTGTGCACTGGCTCCCTGGAGCGCCTGCAATGGAATGGCACTTTGAAAGTTTACTACAGTGAAACTTCAGAGGTGTTCATTGTGATCAATATGTAAACATTGACTTACTCAGAAAAGTTGCTATTGCTTCGACAGCTCCGTTGTACACCGCGGAGCTGTGCGAGGGGGCTCGGAAGTCCCACAGCACCTGCACATAATTCACCACCTGGTTGAAGCCGGCCGTGGCCAGAGCCCACCACAGGGACCAGCAGAGGAGCTTGCGGGAGCCGTAGCAATCCCTCAGGTCCCGGCCCAGCTGCAGCAGCACGCTGAGCATGTGCCTGTGGGGCCTGGCCCTGCCAGCCTGGGGCTGGGGGCTCGGGGCCCTGGCAGCAGCATCGGGGCTCCTTTCCTCTTGGCAGCTCCAGGGCCCTTTGCCAGGCCCTGGCAGAGGCTCAGGGGCATCTTTCTTGTGGAAGAACATGCTCCTCTGGGGCATGGGCAGGAAGAAGGCGCACAGGAATGCCAGGGACACGGAAGCCAAGCTGATGGCGTTGAGGCAGAAGTAGGAGACGTGTGCTAAGGACACCAGCAGCTGTCCCAGCACAGCGGCCACGGTGGCTGCCACCAGAGTGGCACTCCTGCAGTAGCTGGTGACCCTCTGGTAGTGTTGGGTGCTGACCACGCTGTAGATGTAGGCGTAATAGGCCACCTCGGTGGCTGTGACCATGCCATAGAAGAATTCCACCAGCTGCATGGCCAGCACGCCATGTGCAAAGAGCAGCAGGAGCCAGGTGACGATGAGGCTGATGCCCTGCAGGAGGAGGACAGGCTTGTAGCGCACGTAGTCTGTGAGCAGGAACACTGGGAAAAGGAGAGCCAGGTAGGAGTATGTCCAAACTGGAAAAATCTGGTTGGTAACCTAGAACAGAAGAGGAAATGTCAGTGTTTCTATTGTTGAGGAAAGGAAGTTCATGTATTTTAAATGGTGGTATAGAGGGAAGGTTTTTCACTGAAGGAATTAATGAAATATATAAATCACATTGAATTAGCATGGGACTGTTGGGCAGGCAAATGGATCTTGGATCCATTAAATGCATCTTTTATTTATACAGTTTGTTGCAAATTGTAACCTGCCAGAACTGGTTACATTTGTGCCTTTTTTTTCCTTTTAATTCTTAAAAAAACTTTAAACCATGTTTTCCCTTTCTATTTTCACTACTTCAATTAAAAGAAATCATAGAATAAAATCATACCTCATCTGTGGTCAGGTTTTTATCTGGTCCCATTAGGTAGGGTGTTAGGAAAGGTTCTGATGGTTTCATCATGTAGAAGAATCCGTAGAGGCAGAGAATCAAGGTGGGAAAAGCCCAGGTGCTGGTTTTCTCTTGCTTCCAGCAGCCCATGGCCTCTGCAGCACAGCTGAGGATAAAGTTTGTTAGAATAACGATACTGCCCATGCAAGCGCAAAGAGATCTTGTAATTGAATTTTATTTTGTGGTTTCTAATGCCTAGGAGTGCTCTTTAGAGGTTGACAGTTCGAATAATTTTATTTATAATGTTCAAGTGAGCAGCTATTCCTCATATTTGTCTACTGCTCTCTTTGTAGAAAGTGCATAAAAAATGAATTTGAAGATCCTTAACTGGGAGACAAACTACCCTGTCATTCCATCTGCACTGACCAAGATAAACACAGGAAACACCTTTCTAGACTGAAGTGCTGAAGACAGCTGAGCACTGAGATTTCCCTCTGACACCATGACTGATCACAGCCAAGCACCTTGTTGAGTGACGAAGATAACTCTGGAGCCTAGCAGATGGAGCTGCTAAGTAATTCAGAAATGATATCAAGCCAGACTCTCATCTGGGATTATCTGCATGAGAAGTCCATTTTGGATACAGACATCATATTTTCCATTTATAAAAGTGGTCACAGAAAGTTAACAGTTCATGCTAAAATGGAATGAAGCAGGTATTTTTGTTCTTGTCACTAGGTGAGGTGATGGAATAAATTAAAATTTGCAACTCTGCTGGACAGAGCCCAAACAAAAGTCAAAATGGGTGTAATGGGGACAGGAAAAGGAAATAGGCAGTAATTTAATATCCATACTCATGTTAGTATAGGCAATGTCAAGAATCTTAAATGTGTTGCAGTTTTGGAGCCCTTTGGACTTTGCATATTAGCAGATGGGATTTCTATCACTCTGCTTTTGACTTTTATCTACTTTCCTCCTGATAACTTTTTTTTTTTTTTTTTTGGGGGGGGGGGGGCAAAAAATGAATCTTATAGAAATCTTAAAAATGAAGCAGTGTTTTTTCACAAACTTTTTTGTAAAAGCTGGAGAAGATCTATTCAGCCCAAAGCAGTCATGTCCTGATGAGTATATTACTCCAGGTTGGATGGGCAGAGGACCTTTTTTATAGGATGTGGTATGTATAAGGCAGTAGGCATTATGCATCTTTCAAACTTCATGCTATGACAGCACATTTTACTGACAGCCTGACACACTAAGAAATAAGTGCAGAGCCAAGGAAATTTGAATTACTTCTTTGGTGTGGAAGGGCTGAAAGCATGGGCATTACAGGATTCCAGCAGAAAGGAACCCAGCTGTGTGTCAGCTCTGCAGTGTGAACCACTAGATGGCAAAGTGGCCCCAGCAAGGGAAAAGGAGCTCGGGAGGACTGTGAGACACGGAGTTCTCCAGGAAGGAAGCCTTTCTGCCCCTCCTTCCTCCCCAGCTGTTGGAACATCAGTCTGCTGCAAACGTGGCTTTGGCAGGACCCGTCTGGGCCCAGGATCGTGCTCACTGAGTCACATCCCCTGGCTCTCCTCCCCCGCAGTAATCATTAGAGCCATACAGCGCCCCAGTGCCATGGGAATGCTTCCTGGGATTCTGAGAAAGGCATCGAGAGTGGGGTGGAGAACATCTCGAGCACTGTAGTGAGAAACATTTCTACGAGTCAGCCCTGGGATGTAGCCAGGGCATATTTTTCCCTTTCCAGGCTAGATTCTCTGCTCTGATCTGCTTCAGGTCCTGCCCTGTTTGCTCACCCCGGGCATGCTGTGTGACACAAGGGCAGCGAGTCTCACTTAGCCTGTCAAAACACCCCACACCTTAGGAGGTGAGTGGGGCAAGCTGCTGCCTCTGCAGGGCTCGGAGGGGGCTTGTGCTGCCCATGGGTGGCAGAGCTTTGCAGGAATTCATGGTTTTAGCTGTACACAGAAGAACTTCAGGTGTGTCCTAGTCACTGCATCCCTACAGTGCCAGCTGTGCCCTGTTTAGGGCTTTGGGCTAGACCTGTACCTCTAACATGCACTTCTGCTCTTTGAGGTGCCAGTGTTAGGCTGGTAGGTAAAGTCAGGTGAGGATTTTCCCACTTGATATAAGGAGTTGTGCAGAAGAAACCTGTCACTGCTGCTGAGCTGGGAAGGGCAGAGGCTCCCAGGAGCAGCCCACTCTGCCCTTGGGGAGTGGGAGATTGTGTCACCTCACCTGCTCTGGGGTTTGTCACCTCACCTGCTCTGGGGTTTGTGTTCCACTCACACCCCAGCCCTTGGTGAAGCCCTCTCCAGCTGTGCAGCTGCTGTACAAGCCCTCCTTTCTGCTTTCATAACTACAAACCTCTGACAACCAGAGCTCTGCCTTGCGGCTTGAGGGGGAAGGATCCAATTTGTTCCTGGTTCGGGCATCCCATGTGGTCAATTTGTCTTTTATAAATCTAGGATTTTGTTCACTTTTGAAGAGGTTTTAGCATGCCTTGCTGTTATTCTACAGCAAAACTATCTTCTATTTCTTTTTTCCTTCAGCAATTTTTGGTGCCAGGGCTGTCCAGTCTTTTACACACAGCCTAACACAGCCCCCCAGCTCCCCATTGGATTGGTCTCTTCTTTCCTCCCACTTTGCCTTGTCATTGCAGGATTTCATATTTCTAAAGTTCATATATAATCATACCTTCTGTGCTGGAGCTCTTCCTTTCTTACTTCCAAGGGAAAAGCCTCCTTTTAGTATTCCCAGTCTCACTTCTGGTTGTCCTGTGTGTATTGCAGCTACTGGACTCTGTTTGGGTTTTTTCCTGTTCTTCTGGTATTACAGCTTGCTCTGACACCTCCTTTGGAAAGGCCTCCAGCTGGCTTTCTTTCAGCACACTTAAAGGAACAGCCAGATAATCCTGGCCTGTCTCTGCCCAAGGCAGCAGTGAATCAAGACCCAAACTACAGTTTAGTGCCTGCCTGACACAAAATCAATAGAGGAAGTTCTGTTCCCAGAGAATTGTGTGTCTATTTGACAGGATATGTAGCTTGGGAGCCAGCTGTGCCTCAAACTGGCCTATATTAAAGAGAGAGCAGTACCTGTGCATGGGTAGTTACAGAGGTGAGGAGGAGCAAATACCACTGCTGTAAGATTGGAAGGTATCCACACCACTTAAATGATGTTTCAAACTATTCTGATAAATTTAAAAAGGCAAAAGTAAAACACCCTGCTCTGAATCCTCTTGACTTATTTGCTGGCAAATTTGTAAGATTTTTTGCTTTGACAAGTTTTTACAGTGCTGCTGAAGATGGGGATAGGTGCCCTATAGCCATCTTCAGAAAATTCTGCAGGACTCACAACAGCAGAGTATACTCTGTGAAATGTACAGATTTTCACAAAAAAAGTATTTATGCAAATTTAGATCCACTCCCACCCTGGTCCCGCCACATGTAGGTCTGAGGGATGAGGGAATGAGGGATGTAATAATTATTCAGGAATATGACCAGTACAGTAGGGAAAATGTAAATATTTGTAACAGTGAATTATGCAAACAGAGGAAGGCAGCATCTTGGTTCACACACAGTAAAATGGAATAGTAACTTTATGGACATGTACATGAATATGAAAAAGGTATGACATTCCTTGCTGGGTCAGAGAAGTGTCTCACGTCAGCCTCTTTTGCCTTCATTCTTGGCCAGATTTTGCAGCCTTTGCCTTCTACCCCTCAACAATCCAATATTACAGGGTTAGTGATGTTAGAGGGGCCATCCCTGCCTCTTGCCTTTATAACTTGTTTGTTGGCCTTTGTCCATGAAACCATCTCCTCCTGCCTGGGACAGTGCTGTGCACTCCTGGAGTCATGAAACCCCTTGAGCTGGGAGGGAGCCATAGGGATCATCATGTTCCACTCTCTGCTCCTCACAGGACTGTCTCAAACGGAACCATGTGACTCATGGTGCATCATCAGACACTCCTCACATGCTGGCAGCATCTGTAATGTATGTGAAACTAATGCATGGAAGGAATGTAATAATTCCCTTGGGCTCTTTCCCAGCCATTAATCACTGCTGATCCCAGAGTTATCTTGGTTCTTCCTGTTCTATTGACCCTGTAGCTACAGGAGGTGACAGCCCCTCTGGGAGAACACTGACTATACACGCATTTGGTTTTATTCTTATGAACTCTTGCTAAAATGCAGAGAACTCTTGAGGGAAACACTTTTACCTGGGGTTTGAATTGACTCATTGAAGAATCCAACTCATATTTCTTGACACTGAGAAAAACTGCAAAATTCTGGTTTTCCTGTAATGCAATAATGAGAATGAATGATTTAACTTTCAGGCATTGATGTTTTGTTTCTCTGCTTTCAGATCCTCTTTTATCCATTATCTCTTCTTTCCCATAGTCTTCAACCCATCTTGTTTGTAGTTAAATTTTTTGCTTTTTCACTGATTCACTTCTGAATGCCAAATGGAAGACTGTAAAACTGTGATGAGCTTATGCAAGTTTTTGGTCAACTTGAGCCCTCTGCCATAAGATGCCTGCAGCAGAGCTTAGCTGCTGGGTTTGAAAGGGACTACGCACTTTTCACAAGGTGTAGTCAGATGCCGAAGTGTTGTTCTGCTTGGAGAGTGGGCTGGGTGATCTGCTAGCTGATATCCCAATTCTGTTCATTTGGGAAAGGGAAGATTCTGTAAGAGTGGAGGAAAGGCGAGTTTTATGGTAGTAGTGTATCCTGAAGAGATAATCTAATATGGTCTCTAATGAATCAAGGAGATAGGAAAATTCTGAGAGGGGAACAAGACTGAAAGAACAAGAACAAGCAAGAAAAAGAACTGAAAAAATAAACAGAAAGAAAAAGAACAAGACTGAAAACCTTTGCCATCTTGATACTGTCTCCTGCCTCTGCTGCTCCTTGCGCTCAATCCTGATATTATCTCTGGTGCTTCACAGGATGGCACCAAGGCTGAAAGGCTCATGTTGGTAGTGGGGGGTGTCTCTCTGTCTGGTTGGGCACTGACTATCATCTCACAAATCATATCTGCTTTTTGACACCTGTCCAACTCAGACAAAGAGGCTTCTTCAAATCAAACTGATGGCTTATTCTATTTGAAGAGTGTGTACTTTGTTCTTTAAAGGAAGTGATAGCTCAGAAAATTTTCTGTGGCTAATACTGAAGAATTTTCTCCATTTGTGGCCAAATACAGCCTATGCACAGAAAGGTTCCAATGGCAGTTACAAAGAATAAAGTGTATTTTTGTTGGATTTCTCAGGCCCAGAAGTATCCCCAAGACAAGTTCACTTTCTGACTTATGGATCAGCTGATCTTTATCTTTTCTCATGTACTGCATGCTCACTTTGGGAATGAGCTGCTCTCTGCAGCCTGGCCCTGAATCCCACAGTGTGTGGGTGAGTGTTTCCATGACTTTCTTCTGAATCTTGCCCCGGGTTCATTCACATCCTGGGTTTAGGTGCTTTTCATCTGAGACACAAAAATGAATATGCAAAGTTTGGTTTGGGATATTTAGATAGAAGGTACTAGGGGCATTCCTGCAAAGGGTAGGTTAGAAAATGCATTCAACCAAAATAACATCTCAGGTACTTGTACCTGAGATGTTATTTATATTACTGTACATTTACAGCTGCTTCCTTACTAAAAAAGTAATGCTGTAAGGCTATTTTTCACTATGCTGTACCTTACCTAAGGATAATGCCTACCATTTTTATCAATCACTCTTTTTAACTCTTGTCACTGGAGCGCCCACTGCCACTGGCACCATTCAGGGAAGTGGCTGCTGGTAGCAATTCAGGATCTGGAACAAATAGCTGTGCCATTAATCATCACCCTAAGACATTTTGAGGGGGTTTAGATCTTTTTTCTTACAGGCAGCATTTTTTTATTGGCACACTTGGGCACGAACAAGATGTGGACCTCTTGTTATAATGTGCTACTAACATGGTATGGAGCACATAGAAGTCCTGTGATGAGTTTATAAAGACTGGGTGAACCTACTTTGGCCGTGCTTTATTTCCCTTTTGTAAACAATGAAGTCTGAGCAAGTGCTAATTTGAAGGGCTTTACCCTCTTAATGTCTTATTGGCCAGGGAAAGTGACATTGCATTACCTTTCTGCAATATAAGTCACTGGCTGGTTTGTCTCCTTTTGGTTACAGGTTAGTTGCTGAATTCACTGTAGGTGAAAGATCACTGATGTAATTGTGAGCGTGTGGGTAAGGAGCATCCAATTACAGTGTGTGTCCCTGTAGAAGCATTGCCAAGGCTTTACAGGCATCCTTATTTGCATGCCAGTGACCTGCATTGCAGGTCTCTGGTTTGCTCTGTGCCTCTTGCAAGAATCTCTCAGACACCTTGGGAGGTTTCCAAATAAAAGTATTTCCCACTCTCTGTTAACTGGATTTGGTTGTCTGAGGACTGGGTTGGTTGAATAAACTTTTACTTTCTTGCTCTTTCTGGCACAAAGCACACTCTGCTCTCCCAACTGAGGGGTGCAAAGAAGTGAGGTGCTGGAAGGTGGAGGAAACCTTCCTGTTGCATTCAATGACAGCAGCACAGAAAGACCTACAGAAGAACAGATTAAACCTTAAGTAGGTCCTTTAGTTTTCCTTATATTTTTCTTCCAGATCATCAGTAGAGGACAGGAACTACTCCCTTGTCAGTGAAATTCTCTGAGGATTTTCCTTTCTAATAAAATATGATGAGGTCACTGCTGTAGGTTTGCTGTTGACTTTTGTGCAAGTGCTGAGTGTACTGGGCTCTGGTGTCCCTCTGTCCCCTACACTGTCTGTCAGCTCTTCTAATGGCATAGAAGCCACCAGTGTTTAAAGGAAGAACAGCAGTTTTTGTTATTTCTCAATTAAGTGGGGAAAGATTATTCTGGTGAGAAAAAAGTGACACATGGTAACAAAATTGAGCAAAACCGCATTTTAGGAGATGAAGGATATGAAAGATTCTATTAAGCTTTACCTTTAGAATTTCTAACTACAGCTAGAAATAGATGTATGTAGGATGCTTATCCCAGCACCACAAAAACTTCCCCTATCTCTAAGTTTGTTACTTGATGATTTGGCCTGGTGACTTTAACATCTTATATGTAGTTTTTGTAACAATGCCATGCAATCCAGTGTAATACCTGTGCTTTAGTCTTTCTTGGATTGCATACTTTTAAAATCTCCAGTTAATTAACAAGAGGGGAGTGATATATACGTCAAAGCAATCTCATTTAAAATGGTTAATACTTGTAGTGATTAATGCTCACTCACTGTGGTTTGCCAAAGAAAAACGAGAGGAAAAACCGGAAGGGATTTGGAAGGCACTTTCTGTGTTGAAAGAGCACTTTCCAGGGCGTGTTCCCCTGTAGACGTATCCCACAGGCCTCCCACTATTGGCAGATATTGTCCTGTTGTCACAGATGGACATCTCACTTCAGAGATGCAAATTTATGTTTGCACAACCTGTGTGTATGTAGGAAGTTTCAGCTCAGCACATTCTCTCTACATTTTTTTATCCTCAAGGTGCATGTCATTACAGACACCGTGGGAGACTTTGTATCATTGCAATAGCCCAAGCAGTAAAGTCCTGCTGGAAGAGCATTTGTCACATTTTCATAAGTGGTCATAACAATCTGGCTGCTTCATTTAATGCTAAACCTCTAATGACAACTGTAACAGACTTAAAATAAGTCTGTTATGCTGCTACTGTTTGCTTAAATATAATAATTCTTCCACTTAAAATGTCCTGAGTTCTTCTAATACCTTGATTTCTTGCCAGTCCCAAAGAGTTTTGATGGTAGAGTTATTAAAGTCTTTAGGGGTTTTGTTTTTGCTATTTGTTTGTTTTTTTTCATCAGCAGTGTGTTAGGTTTTATCCCTTTCATGAAGAATATATTCTCCATGTGCTTTCACCTTCCTGTGAGTTCTTTCAAAGGCAAAGCAGTTATAGTGTGTTGTACCCTGGAGCTCTGGCCCTGGTTCCCATATGCCTCGATGGCCTAGGCTGGTTACAAACACAAACAGAAAAAGGACCAGTCTTTAGTCTGAGGAAGGCTGAACATACTTACTTGAGGATATGTTCTTGTAAAACACAGGTCACTTTGGAATAGCAGATTTCTGTCAAGTCCAGATTGTTTGACTTAAAACATCTTTTCTGGCTTAAAACAGTTTTTCTGTCTCTGGTTCTTGCCTTGTTTACAGGAGCCCCTGATGGCTGTGAGCAGGCTTGAGGGGTTGGACACAGCACCCTGCTCAAAGCCCTAGCCAGGAGCCCAACCAACAGGACATTTTTGGGGCTGGTTGGAGTTGTCTGGACTAGCAATAGGCAAGAAAGACTCTGAAAATGGGGAAAAGCAAGAGAATGCTTGAAGCAACCAAGGAAACCCTGCAGAAAGAGAAGGAATATTACCCTGGCAGATGGCTTCCTTCACAGGAGCTAGGGCAAGGCTGCCCTTTCTAAGGCCTCCAAATGCCTGCTGCAGAAATCAAGGGGTGATAACCAAGGTCAGAAAAGGGCTGTAGGGGGGGTAAGAAAGTCAGTGATCTCAGTGGTGTTATGCAAAAGAACCTGTAAGAGTCAGCATGGAAGGGATGTGGTGGTGTGGTTTCCTTGGGAAAAGAGTAGGCCTCTTGGAAAGAGGAAAGTCCAGGGCTGTTGTGATTTTAAGCTCCTCTCAGGGAAGTCCCTATAACGCAACCGTGTAGTGCTGGAAAGCTGCAGTGATTGCAGCACTTGCCTGTGTCCGCAGCTGCTCTGCCAGGCTTCATGACACAGCCACTCCACAGCATTGGCTAACAGCTATTAAAACAATCTTGACTGGTTTTTGTTTGGCAATCCCAAATAAGCAGGTTTTGCTGGTATTTTTAAGCTGGTCTGCCAGTAATACATGACAAACTGGCTCTGCCAGCAATGTACTAAGTAGTCCAAGTAATCACATATTCCATATGTCAACTGCGACTTAGTAAAACCTTCACGAGTTCTCTTGGTCAACTTAAAACTTTACCACTTCATGTTATTTAGTTCTTTTTTCTCTTTTCTTTATAAGGTTTGGATTATTTGTCTTAGGTCTTTTGGAGGAAGCAAACAGAACACAAAAAGAGCAGCTTCCCATTTTCTTAATAGTTCTCTTCTAATTTTATACAAAACCATGTTTAAATTGAATTAATTAACAGTTTCAGCCAACCTAAAACTGCATGTTAATGAAAATTTTAAGTCATAAATTTTTTTTCTCCTTACTTCTATTGTTGTATTTTACTTTCAACATTCAGAAAATGTCATATATTTCTCTTTCATAATTGCAAAGGCATAGTATCTTTTCCTCCTCTTTTTGAATTAAACATTTTTGAAGTGCAAGCCTCATTTTATTAGTATTGGAAGGCATTTTCATGTTCAGGATGTGGATTTTGGCTCTAGCAATTTTCCTTTTCCAAATTTTCTCTGGGATCTATGAATCTTGGGGAAATTCTCAGCCAAACTGAAGTAGTGCAGCACTGATTTGTGTAGAAGTAGTGAGGGTCAGGCTCAGCGTGGCTGTATGACCACTCTCGTGCTGAAAATTGCTGATAGCTTTTTTTGGTGAAGATTTTGGGATGTTAAACACATCTGTGTCTAAGGTGTGTAGTATCCTTGCATTACATTAATTTATTTACATTACTTAATTAATTATGTTGCTACTTTTTGTAATCAGGTTTCTTTTTGTCTCCAAATAATACTTGGTCTCAGTCTCTTGCAGGAGATAGTGTAAAATCCTTTCAAGTGATTCCTTCCTTTCTTCCCACCTTTGTAGAAGTTATTCAGAAAATCCACATTTCTGGACTACTTTAAGGATCAGAAACATATTAGTCAAAATGTTTCTGCTGTTGTGTTTACTATGCCTAAAGGTATAAAATAAAAAATAAAATAAAAACAAATTTAAACTGGAAGAGAACTAGGGCTGTAACAAAGTGGTTTTTTTAACAAAGTTTTTAAAGTTTCCTTTTTTGACTGGTGTGTTGACCCTGGCTGGATGCCAGGTGCCCACCAAAGCTGCTCTATCACTCCACTCTTTAGCTGGACAGAGGAGAGGTTAATAAGGAAAGGCTCAGCGACCAAAACAAGGACATGGAGAGATTAATCACCAATTGCCAGCACAGGCAAAACAGATTCGACTTGAGAAATTCATTAAAATTTTAGCAATCTAAACAAGGTAGGATAATGACTGGTAAGATCAAATCTTAAAACATCTTCCCTTCACACCTCCCTTCTTCCTGGGCTTAACTTTACTCCTGATTTTCTGTACCTCCTTCCCCCAGCAGTTCAGGTGAATGAAAATGGAGGTTTTTGTCACTTCATCATGTGTAACCTCTGCTGCTCCTTCCTGCTCAGGGAGAGAACTTCCCACACTATCTCCCTCCTCTCCATGGGCTCCTCTCTCCATGGGGCCGCACGTCCTGCCAGGATCCTGCTGCAGTGTGGGTTTCACAAGGGGTCACAGTCTCCCTTGGGCATCCAGCTGCTCTGACGTGGGGTCCTCCGGGGGCTGCAGGTGGATCTCTGCTCCTGCATGGGCAGTGCCTCACCACAGCCTGCGCTCTGTGCTTCAGGGGAATCCCTGCTCTGGCACCTGGAGCAGGTCCTGCCCCTCTTTCTGCACTGAGCTTGCGGTCTGCAGAGTGGTTTCATGTATCCATCCTCCACATACTCATTCTTCTCTCTGGCTGCAGTTGCACAGGGCTTTTTCCCCCTTCCTAAATACATTATCCCAGAGATGACACCACTGTCAGTGATGGGCTCAGCCTTGTCCACTGAGTCCTTCCTTGGAGCTAGCTGGCATTGCCTCTGCCAGACATGGGAGAAGATTCTAGAAGAGCATCCACCACCAGTACCTACCCAAAACCCGGCCACACAAATCCAGTGAAGACTTTTTTTCATTCTCCTTTCCAGTTATAGGCTTTGCCATCATGTTTGAGAGGTCCATTTCTGTGAAAGGGTGGTTGGCTACCCCAAGGGACTGTAGACCGAGTAGAACTAACTTTGCAGAGAGAAATCTGCCCTCAGAACACTAGATATTTAGCTTCTGTATGTAGGTAGCAGGAAGCAATCAGCAGTGCTGGGATGCTGCCAGGATGTTCATGGCAGGTTCATCAGGTCTCATCATAACCTGCACTTTCGATAGATGGAAAGTTGATTTCTCCCAACAGGCATATATCTTGTCCATAATTGCATCAAAGCAATGTCATTCAATTATTTCTAGAACTGTCATGTATGAATTGCAACCTATAATTAGTGAAAATTGGCTTCTTCCTCAGATAACAAATTTTGTCAATCATGCAAGTACTGAATTGCCTGAAATCACTGGGTTGCATCACAGCCTCTAAAGCTCCAGAGATATTGAGCAAGTTACCTCTGGAACTTTTGTGCTTGGTACGTATGCATTTACTCATTAGAGATTATGCAATGATTAAATCCCCGTATTTGGCCATGTTCCTTCCGGCTACTGCCTTCTCATGCACTTTGCTTTATCAAAGGAGTCCGAAATCTTTGGAAATTACAGGAGGGAATTTCCCCCATCTGGTTCTGTGTTTCCTGGATGATCAGCAGTATTGCTGTAAGGTTTTATTTACATCAATTCAGAAAAGGTACTAATAAGCAATAAAACAGTATCTCTTTGTGAGGATGAAAAACATGGAAACTGTTGTTAACTGCTAGTTGATTAACAACTGTCAGTATGTTTCTCATCTTATTGTAGGACTCAGGTAAAGATACTGACAGTGTCTGACATTCAAGTTCTTTATTTTAGTCTTTCATCTCTAATGTTAGACCTAAGTCCATAAAATGACAATAATCAAATGGTTAATGATTATAAAATTCCTTTTCTGTCTTTCTCTTCAAAAGTCCATAAAGTATTTTAACCCTTGCATGGAAACCAGGTAGACTGCTCCTGTGCTTTTCTGTGATCGGGAGAATTATATGGTAAGCCCATCCCCTCCCGCCCCAAATTTTTTGCCCTGTATGGAGGTGTTTATCAAGGATGAACTATTAAGTCCTCTTCAGCATTTCAGACTTTCAGCAGGTATTTCTGTGAGTAAAAGTCCTTTGGGATATAAGAGAGAAAGCATATTAGCAGGATGTAGCAGTTTGGTGACCAGAGAAAGTTGCCTCTGGCTGTAGCTTTGCAGATGGTGTCTGAGTGCAGTTTGACTCCCCAGCTCTCCTCTTTAACATCCCCAAGCTGCTCAAAACTGTCAGTTCCTCAGTATTACTTGGGAAAAGGTTCAGTTTTTCCTAATGCATTTCTTCCACAGGTCTGACTGGATGGCTCTGCAGCACTGGCACCTAGGCTGTCTTTGCTGTTATACACACAGGAGGTTTGAGCCTGTTTTCTCTGGCCCCTGGAACAACGGGAGAGGAAGCTTAGGAGAGGATGAATGCTTTGTCAGTCTGTGTTTTGCTGCTCTGCCTTACTGTGACTGCAGTTGTTGTGAGGGGATCTGAGGAAGGACAACAGGAGGGAGGAAAGCTGAGAAGCTTGCAGCGAAGTCAAGTCAGAAAGACAAGTCAGGAAAGTAAAATAAGAAACAAACAGCTAAATGTGAAAAACCCAGAAAAAATAATGTAGGGTTGATTGTGGCTTGGGAAGGAACCCAAGTTTAAGATCATGTTCAGGGAAGGGCCATGTCCAGCTTAGGTTTGCGTATCTACAAGGGTGTTCAAACTAGGCTTTCCCATCCTGGGTGATCTGTCACAGTGCCTCACCCCCTTGCTATGGAAAGGTGGCTTCCCTATGTCCAGTGGGAATTTCCCTTTTCACAGCTCGTGGCTGATACCTCTCATGCTTTGTCTGTACCCTCTGAGGAGACCCTGGACACAGCCCTCCCCACATGGGCCCAGGGCAGGGAAATTATGGCCTCCCTTGACCTGGCAGCCCCCTTTGAACTGTTAAGACACTAAACACATTTATATGGCACCTGCAACCGACCAGGGATAGGTTTGGAGGTGCCACTGGCCACCCTAGGGCCTGGCAGCCTCATCTCATGGCTGTGTGGCAGTCCCTGGCCAGCCTACATGGCCCCACTTGGTCACACAGGTGCCAAAGGGAACCAGACTGAAAGTTTGGTTGGGTGAGGGTGGACAACAGTCACCATCCCCTCATTCCCAGGGAATAATGAAAAACACTTCTCTGGAACATATAAGCACCTCCTTGTTTTTTTATATTTTTTTGCCTTCTGTTTGCATTAGGGATATGTGAAGGTAAAGACTGACAAGATACAGTTATGTGTCATATCACAGCCAGCAGAGCTTTCTTCAGCTGTTTGCATTAAACCTTTTTGGATTGTTTTAACTACTTTGTGCAAATAAACTGAAGGTACTTTGTATACACCAAGTACAAGAAAAATGACAGCGCTCCTGAAGTTGGGGCCCTCCTTGCGGCTGTTGTTCTAAATCTAAATCGTAAGCTAATTTCCTAAATCAAAGAAAAAATGAGCTAAAAGGAACACCATGAGCACAAGTCCAGCTGTGACAAGGCACAACACCAGCTGTGGTCAGTTGTGGGAACCACTGGTGTGATGGAAACTGCCTGAGGGCAGCACTACGGGTGAGTGCTGCCTGAGCAGTGTCATCGCTCTGGTATCCAAACTGCTGGGGCTTAGGTAGAAGTGTCAAAGCTCAGATGAGAAAATTCTGTCCAGGAAGCACTCAGTGGAGAAGAAATAGAGCTGTAGAGTCACAAAGAAGACATGAGATGCAAGGCCACGTCCATCTGGGTAACAGCATGACCTAGGAAATGGCATACGAAATGCCAAAGCTGGGTATAGCTGTAATAGACTTGGGATCCATGAAATCTGTATGTAAAAGAAAAAAGGACCATTCTAGTCAGCAAGTTTGAGGCATTGCCTAATGCTGACAGATAGTCTTTAAAGCAGCGCAGAGATAGCTGCATTCTGAGAGCATTGATCTTTTTGTACTTTTGTGGCATTTCACTATGATCCATAAAACAGTTACAAAAAGCTGCATTCATTAGGGCATGGGTTCTTTGTTGCCTTGTCCCCATCCTTTGGCCAGTTGCTGTGGCTCTGCAGGGAATCATGTCCAGTATATGTAATGCTATGCACACTGCAAGGTTGCTCATGTATACCTCAGCCATATGAAATTCCCTCAATTCTCACTATTGCATAGAGAAATTATTTTCTCTGAATAACAGTCTGTTCTAGAGTTCAAGCTGTTTCTGTTTCTACAAATGTCCCTTTGAGAGTGGTACTGGCACTCTCTGAAGGATGGAAGGCATGTAATTTTGCACTGCCTATGACTGTCCATGAGCTCTACCTTAAGAGAAGCCACTTAAAGCTCAGGTTACTCTACAAGCACCTGGAGCTGGCAGCAGCTCCTGTGAGCACTGGCTGGTCAGGACATGGCCTGCAGCCATCACAGTAGTTTCACACATATCCCTAAACAGCATGAGAAAGTTCCATCCTTGAGTGGCAGCTCAAACAATTGGAGTGGTAACAGAGCCTCTCCCTGGTGGTTTCTCTAGACAGTGCAAAGCAGTTTTAAGATTGTGTGTATTTTGTTGAATGTTCAGGAGTCACAATACTCTGGTACAGTTTGGGAAAGCAAAAACTAAAGATATTGTTTATGAAGTGCATTCTAGAATTTTTATTAATGCATTCTAGAATGTACAGATTTTGAGAATATAGGCCCCATTTCAAGTTTCTTTTAAGCTCACTCTGTTGCAGATGACATAGTTCAGACATGTAAAAAACTGGTGGGAAGTCATGGCAGGAATATATTGTTAAAGAAATTAAATAAACCCATTTTTGTGAATACTCAATGTTGCTCATGTGTCCTTGCCAATACTACAGTCCAGAGATCAGAAAGCAATAATCTGGAAAGTCCACCGTGTTGGCCAATCAGGAAATATTAATGTACTACTTTGGTGTTGGTGCAGCTTGTGACCCAGCTTCTGTGGGCTTGCCACGCTGAAATGAATCTGCTCCCACTCCCTCTGCTCCCAGGCTGGGTTTATTAAACTAGAGCAGAGAAGACACACGGTTTCTGTAGATAACATTTAAAGTTACCTAGGTTTGACTTTCCACATTACACAACCCACACTCCTACCCCTGAAACGGCACACGCTGCACCCACAGAACCATTCATTACCATATAGACTTTTATTTCCTTTTCTTTTGGAAGGAACCTTTCAATGAGCAACCTCAAAAAGAATTACAATATTCCCCAGCACACTTATCTCCATTTGTACCCGGAAGGAGTGCTGGGGCCAAATCGGGCACGATGGAATTCGCTGTGGGGAAACCCGCTGATGACAGTGGAACCCGCCCGTGGGTGAATTCCCGAGGCTCCTGCCACGCTTTATAAGCAGGTGCAGGTGAGGCAGGGCTGGCAGGAGCACAGGCAGGCACTCGCTGGAGCACAGCTGTGTGTGCAGAGGGAATGACTGGCTGCAGCAAGAGCATGGTCCTGATTTCCCTGCTGGGGCTCCTGGCGCTGCTCCTCTGGGGCACCTCGGAAGGTGAGTGACCTCGGGCGTGCTGCTCACAGCTGGCAGCAGGGTGAGGCTGAGCTGGAAGGGAATGGCTTCAGCAAAATGTGCTGTCTCCTGTCTCACCCCCCTCTTCTGTCATGAGGGAGCTGGATGGTTGGGGTAGAACAGTGAGTGCACTAGACAGGATGGCCAAATGGGGTTTATTTACTTTGTTGCTGTCCTTCACTCCAGCACACAGCAACCAGGATTGCTGCCTGTCCTACACCAAAGCACGGCTGCCTCGGAAGGCTCTGAAGGGTTACACGGAGCAGCTCCCCAGTGAGGTCTGCGACATCCCTGCCATCATGTAAGTTACTTTCTGAATCTCTGCTCTTTTTTCTGACATGTATTAACCTTGGGATGTCTGTTTTGGCTAAAGCATGGATTTGAATGTTATAAGAATGATTTTTCCGGCCTTTTCTAAAAGTTAAATTAATTGAATAAATTGTATATCACGCAAGTAAAAAAAACCACACAACCTCTAGTTGACAGAGACTGCTAACCCACGGGACAGTCATACAATGTAAATAATAAATCTGACTATTTAGCAATCAGCTGTGCAAACAAAGACAGGTTTTGTCTCCAGCTAAGGGCCACTCTGGCCAACACAGAGTGCTCCCTTGCCAAAATCTGTGAACACACACATAAGTGACAAGACTTGTCTAATTCACAGGGATCAGATGTTTTTCTTACAGGGTTTTGGCCTAGATGCTGATCTGTCACCTTAGCTTGACAGCAGCTATTCTCCTTAATTTTACAACTTGTTTCTGACATCCAGAAAAGGTCTTTGCCTAAACAGACCAAATAAACTGAAATAACATTTTATGGTGCAAAAACTGATCCCTGAGACTGAAGTAGCTATTACATTAACTTTCTTTTTCTTCATATAATATTGGAGAGATTTGGATCATTCCATGTCTAACAGGTATTTAGAAAAGCTGTTTCTATTGGTCATTATATAGAGTAACTGTATACTTCCACAGCAGTTATTGGCAGGGATTTCTGATTTCTTTATCATTATTTCTTTTCCAGCTTCCACACTGCCAGTGGGCGGAATGCCTGTGTAAATCCTAAGGAAGGCTGGGTGAAGAAACATCTCCTTTTCCTTAGGTGGGAATCCCTCTCTTTCCATCTCTTGTCAGACTTAGCTACTCCTTTCTGGAGTCTTCTCAGAGACAGTCATGTCACCTGTCCCTTCTTCCACCTGAGCTATTCTCTCAGGGAAGAAGAGAAAACTATAACTGAGGTCATTATTTATGTTCTCTCTTCCTTTTAACAGCCAGAAACTCAGGAAGATGTCAGTCTGATGTAGTTTCCAGCAAGGAGTTAAACACAGACATGGCTGAAGAAGCACTGGGTTGGGGCTCCTGGCTGAGATGCTTTGAACACTGCTGTGTGCTCACTCACCTCCAACTCTGGCTTCTTCAGAACTGATGAACTTCTTGAGTTGATTCATATTGCATCACTGTTTTGCTTGAGTTAAGCATGTTGTTAAAATTTCTATTTTTACTAATATGTGTATGTTACTGATAGGACATAAGTGCTGTTTAGTAAGGTCTACCTTGAGATGTTGTACAGAGTGTGAATTTTATTAAGTTTATTGTATGTTGTTTTTGTTCAGCATATGTAAAGCAGGTTATTTATTCTGTTTATTTTGTTATTGTCTTGTGTCAAAATGTTTCCTTTAAGCTGTAGTTAGCATTATAATACCTCTTGAAGTATTATTAACTTAACTATTGTTAAATAAAGACTGTTTGTAGAAAAAAAAATGGTAACTGGAGATTTAAACAATTTAAATGTTAAAATCAGCACTCTCTGTGATATGTTTACTTTTAAATTGAAAACATGACTTGCCCTTGAAATTAATTCCTTTGTTAAGAGCCTCCAGCTGAAACAGTTGCACAGGTGTGTTGACACCTGTTACAGCCACTTTCCACCTTACTCACTTTGTTTGCCCTAGGGGTAGCTATGACCTCCATAGGATGTAATTCCTTCCTCACCTCCAGCCAGTAATCAGACTTGAGAGAACTCCTTTTGCCAGTTTCTCTATTTAATCAGGAGGGACCTTACACATTGTTACCGGGCAAGCTTCTAGCTTAGCCACCGAGGTGGGTTCATTGTTGCAACACAGTCTGCTCTCAGCCTAAAGGGCTTTCTCTAGAGGAGAAACTTGCAGTGCTTTCCTCTGCTTTTTGTTTCTGCCTATGGTATCCTATGGCTTCCAGCATAATGAGGTTTTCATGATGCAGGAGCTCTTGATGGAGGTCAGGGATGCCTGATAAAATAATGAGACCTCATGGAAGAGAGGGGTGCAGGTGGGCAGGGGAGGACTGCTCAGCTTTTTATCCTCTATTACATGGCCCAAGTGGACTTCAGGGATGAGACCATGTAGGGTATGCAAGTGAAGTCCTCTCACTGTCAGCACTGGAGTCTTATGGATAAATTTACATCTTGCCTTTTAGTACCTTTTAGTCATAGAAATACAAGCACCAGTTTAAATTTCATTTTTAAACTTAAGTGCAAAGTATTTCTGGTGCCCTTGAGAGAGGAGCTGAAAGATACTGGGTTTTTAAAATGGTGTTCATGAGTGTAAGGCTGTTATTTTCTGGTTTCAACACCAGCTAGAACTTAAAAAATGTGCTTGTGGCTCTACAAATCTGCGACTTGTCAGTTCCCTGTTGGTGAAGTACTCAAGGAGCAAGGTACCTAAAGGAGCAAGATTAATTAGCTTTAATTTCCTTCAGGTGGATTCCTGATATTGAGAACATAAGGTATTCCCCAGTATTATCCAGCTTATTCCTTGGGCATTCCCCTAACTTCTGGGCAGAAGCGTGGAGCTCTGTCTCATACCTGCTAGTACTGGTATGAGCTGTTTGGGCTCAAAGAAGTCATAGGCTAAATCAGGTACCAAAAAGTGGTACAGACATGATGAATGGGTTTGTGTTAAAAGCTGGAAGGGGAGGTTCCCCAAGCCCACCCTGGGAACTGGTGTTAGGAACCAGAGCTCTAAAGAACTTGGTGCAGAAAAGCCTGGACTCCACGGGTTGAATTTAAAGCAGGGGAGCAAAATAAGGAAGCGGAGACCAGCGTGTGGAATTCTGTTGGTGGCTTTTTATTCCCAGTTCAGGCCTCTTTAAAGTTTTGTGTTGCTCTGTAACTCATGCTTCCTCTGCCCCCACTTGGTACCATTGCTACAAAACCCCACGTGCTCCATCCACAGAGCTTTGACTTGAGGGATTTCTTTTTAGTTCCTCTTATTCTGGGTGAATTTTTTTTTAATAACCAATCTCTTGGGAAGAGGAAAGATATTGAAAAGCTTGGTTTCCATGCTCAATATCAGAAATTGCTACGGTTGTTACGTTACTGGTAGGAAAGTCTGTGTAGAAATAGCATGTCCCTCCATGCCTTCCTGAGGATACAAACAGGTATTATAACTGAGTGCTGGGACTCCAGAATTATCAGATGAGAGGAACATTTTTGTATGTAACCTTGAGTGGTCAGTTAGAAATTATGATAGCTCTGTAAATCATGATCCTTTCTAGGAAAACCTGAATCCTGATTACTTTGGTGGGACTGTTCTGCATGTGAGCAGGTGAGTTTCTGTCTCCTCTCTATCTTTGCCTCCAGCTCCTAATTCAGCCTGTGCAATTTTGTTGAATAATTTGAAATTCAAAATTTAAATAATGGTCATTTGGAGACTTTTTCTCTTCCATTTACATACTATTTAAAACCTTAAAATTTTTGCAAAATGATTTTTATTATAGCTTGGATATTTGGGAAGTGGATGTGAAAGCTTTCCCTTTAAACTCTGAGCACTTTATACTTCAGTTTCAAACTCTGTATTGAAATCAGTCCTCAGTGATTCTTGTGCTAGCTGCAGTATTGCTATTGAATCCTCTTTGTGTCTATTCTTTCTGTGTGCTTATTTTTTAATTTAATGGTTATTTTTCTTCTTTTAAAATTTATTTTGGTTTTGTTTTGTTCTTTGTTCATTTGGTTTTTTGTTTGTTTGTTTGTTTTTTGTGTTTTTTTTTTTTTTTAACCATAAAGCAATCTCACATCTTTCTGAGTCAGGAATTGTAGCTTTTTGTTGTGTTGGGATCTTTGATGGAGAAATTTCTGTCCATGTATGGAATCATAATTATATTTTACTAATTTCTAAAATTGTTTTTAATCACACTCCAGCAAAAAGCAAAAAAATAACTTAGCATTGCATGGTCAGGGGTTTTTGTAGGGAATGGCAAAACTGATGATTTAATTTTGCCGTTAAAATATAAAACCTGCCACATTTTGTCTGCTGAAGAAGTACTAAGTAGAATAGAAGTACTATTTACTGCATTTTTCTTCAGTTGATGGCACCTTCCATAAATTGAAGACTGCTTTATTCCTTCCTTGTTTCCTGATTTTTCCACCAAACAGGGAAAAACACAAAGAGACAAAAGGGTGAACGGCCTTGTCCTCCAGTGCTCAGCTTTCAAGCATATCTGAAACCTAAGCTTTCTGGGTGTGCTTAGTGACAGTGACACTTCCAGCCCCTCCACAGGGACATGGATAATTGGTCAGTTATTTTCAATCACCAACGAGCCCACATGCTGCCTGGTTTCACTCCTGATGAACTGGAGTGCACCAGCACAACACAAGTTTGTTGAGAATTGAGCTGAGGAAGTACAGAACCGCAAAGGGCTTTAAGCTTATGATACTGTCATTTGATTCTAATGGCATCCACCCAAGCTGGATAAACATCAAAACAGTAAAAATGGATCAGTTGTAACAGACCTTCTGTACACTGAGCTCAGCTGTGTTACACCCTGGCAGTCTTGCTCCAAACATCAGGCTACAGGCAACATCCTTTGCCAAAAAATGAATCATAAAAGAAGCTTTTAGTCCTCAGAACAAACCCACTGTGTCGTGCATGTTACGTATACTAAGCAATTATAACTGTATGACTGTACATAAGCGAAAACTATGATTTATGTTCCCATGAACTTGTGGTTGCTCCATTCTGGGAGGTGTCAGCCTTAACTGAGCAGTGTTGGAGCCCTAAGTCTATAAAGGTTTTTGAATTGCTGTGTTTATTCTTCTTGTGCTGTCAGATGCAACTTCCAGCCAAAGCCCTCCTAGAGCTGCTGGTGCTAGAACATCTAAATGTGATATACAATAGCTGCAGTCCTGTGGTTGCTATTGTACATTAGCCACAGAGTATTGCTCACAGACCTACCACTGTAAATAAACCAGGCAGTCATTTAATAGTATTTTAGCTTTCTTGAATTTTTAACATTATTCAAAGATTATGGAATACAAAATACATATTAAATGTAAAAGCAGCAGATGAAATTTAGAATACTGCATGGTAAAAAGCAAATATGCCACAGGAAAAGTAGAGACTAAAATACTATATTTAATTTTTGTTTTTAAATTTACAAAAGCATTTCTATAGTTTTGCTTCCATGACTTCACTTATACTCCAAAATAAAGTAATAATTTTACTTCTAAGCACCTGCATTTACATTTTCCTGCTCCCTAACTTTAAACTGAAAACTCTCTTATTTTTTTACACTCTTTTTGTATCAAGGAGAAAATTTATCATTTGGGTTGAATCTCCCTAAAAAATAGATACTCTCTAAATAGTGTCCATATATGGAATTTGCTGGATATACTTACAAGGCATGTCCTATATGAGAGGGATTTTATCAACCATTGTGGCCACACAACTGATGTACAAAACTGAGGAGAGAGCGATTACACATGGCATTTTCTCCTAGACTGATACTGCCAACAAAGGGATAGGAGCATCCAAGGAGAAGGAGTACTATCCCTATTCTCAGAGTGGTGGCTGGTGCAAGTGGGAGTTGACTTTGTATAGGAATTTGTTCTACAGGTAAAAAGTCATATCACAGGTTATGTTAATTTTGGTTCTTTCCCAATTCTTAATATTCATGAGATGCAATCATCTGAGGTTCATTAAATATATAATTAATTACCACACATATAAATTTAAAAACTTCAGGCCCTTGATTAAATTTTTTTGTATCCAACACATTTCAGCATACCAGGTTTTCATGATATTCCTTCTCCTGAAATATCTCGAGTTACCTAAAAATCTAAGCCTCATAATGATTATTTTTTCTAGCCCTCAGAATTAACCCCAGACAAACCACTGGAAAACAAATGATGAAGAACATCTCAACAGCTTTTTTCCAACCAAACTAGATGCACACGTTGTTTCAACACCCAACCCATGTTTTTGTGAAGCAGCTATAGTAATGAAGTCTAACAGAAAGGTCATTGCCATGTTTCTTCCAGTGAATGCTACTTCCAGTTATCAGAAATTATGATCTTGAGCCCCTTTTTCAGTGAAAACAATGGCTGTTCTAGCTGGGGCTGAAGATGCATATGTTCTGTTTGGTTTATAGGGTTTTTTTCTCCTTGACTTCTTTACTGCTTGAGAGGGATGGAATGGGGAGGGATGGAATGGCCTTTAGGGACAATTCAGCATGCCCAGGCCATCATTAGCTGCCTCTGTGTCACAGTGCAGGAGAGGGCACACATGGGTGGTTGCAATATCAGATATGCTTTCTGTTAGCTGACACTTGGTTAAGAGATGTGCCCATGATAAGAAGGAGGGAGAGAGAAACAAACATACAAACCAGCTTCTGAAATGGGAGCAGGGTGGCCCATCTGGGCCCACTTGGGCTTCCTGGTGACAAAACCTGAATGATAGGATCCATTTATAGACAGCTATGAGATAAGGCAACTCAGGAAACATGAA